TAAAAAAATTCCTGGTTCAGGTATTATATTATTTTATAAACATTGATGAATCTTTACTATTACAAACACTTCCAAGTTGCCACCGTAAGGCCACGTGCTATATCCTGATTTTATTACTATGCACTTTCAAGCTCTCTTTTCTTGTATACCATTTGTTTTTCCTTATTGGTCTATCGTTAAAGACTGAGTTTTAAGACTTTATAAAATGCCAGGTTTACACCTGTTTCTGTAACAAAGCAGATAAATCGAATTCAATTTAAACGGAAAATAAACTGTTTTTTTTTCTGCTTTAAGAATCGAATCCCTGAGGGATGAAATATCTCAACTTGTTTTTTTTTATCTTTGTGGCCAGATTCCAGTGTTTGTCTTTCTTTTGGCCAATAAACAAAAGATTGACAAGATGGCAGATTGCTGGAGATTTGCCACAATAAACGCGATACAGTTTTAAAGTTGGTTCGAAGAAAAAGACCAGAAAACACCAGAAAGGCAACAGAGAAAGCAGATTTTCCGAATATATATATTTGAAATAAAAAAAATTGACCCAGCTGATCGCCAAAACCTTTCCGTGTACTGAATTAGATGGATCGTTGTTAAAAGTACATGCTTTGGCAAAAAGACAAGAACGGGTAATTGAACAACATTTTCAACATTTATTTCCTTTTAACTTTGTTAAAATTTTAACAAAAATAAACTATCCATTATAAATAGCATCATATTTCTTTGTTTTTGTTTTGTTTTGTTTTTATTTAAGTAGGGACTTTGATATAGAATATTTTATGCGTTCTCGCTCTCAAGTGACATGAAATGATCATTTTGTAAAGTGAAAATTCTTGGGGGAATGTCATATAATTCACCAGTTAACGACCTGTTTTTATGCGAAACGATTATTCATCATCCCTCGAAAATGATATTCACCGATGCCGAATCATTATGTTAGGTTGATAAAATATCGTACTCACCCAAATGCAGGTCAATGATTGTATAATATTGTACATGTATATACAATATCTGCCTGTAATGCTGTCAAAGCTTTCCATGTTTGTCCCTTCCTTAAATGACCATAACTGTTGATAAGACTAACAGCGATACAAAACCAACCATTGTTTGTGCCAAATTAAAAATCAACAACATCGTGTTTCTGTACAGAAATGCCGTGAACGACGTCTAAAAATATGGGGTTGAGATTGTCTTTTATTCGTTAAACATTCCTTACCTTTATTTTTTTTTTAATCATCTCGTATGTTTATGTTACTTGAATTGGTGGGCAACGGAACAAAATCTGACAAGTCCAAACTTCAAGGCGAAGGTGATCCGTGGAAAATGAGGAGATCGGAAGTCCGAAAAAAACTCTCTCTATCCGTCTTTGTTTGGTGCTCGACTAAAGTTTAACTTCAGTTTTTGGATCGTCGAGATCATGTGTTCGTGAAGTCGTAACGCTACACTAGTTCTGGAACAGTACGGCGAAACCTTGACATAAAAATTAAAGGTCGACATCGTGATGTCTACAGACTTTCACAATGGAAACACCCCGTTTGTGTGACTGGATTCACTCGAGTAGATCGCCTTGCCTCACCCGTCAGTTAGGTTTATTTACCGCCACCAGGTCTACTGCCTGGTATAGTTATCGGGTTTAACGTTTACGGTGCGCACGCACTATTGTACTATCATAACTATTGTATTTTCGATTTTTGTTTTTTTCCCATTTTGAATTACAGAGTGTAAGGTGTATCATCTTTGCACTATAGAGAAAACATCAAGAAAATACCAATATGGCAACATAATCATAATTCAAACTAAAATTCCATAAACTAAAGCAACATTTGAACAAAAGAAAAGATTACAAAGACTCATGAAAAGTACAACATGTGTTCCGGAAGAGTAAGCATCTTCTGATTCATCGACAACACCCGTCATGTAAACCTTGGTCAATCCAAGTAAATAATTTCACGTTCTCAAATGAGAACAATATATACAACAACGGAACCAACAGGCAAACTAACGAGTAAATACCATAAGTTGGAGATACATGTATATTGCTGTCCAGAAATGGCAAATTCACATTTGAGAAATTGAAATCATACAGCTTGATGGAAAATGTCCATGTTGGTTTCGTTGTATAGATAGATCAAAAGAAGCAGGTAATGTAGAATAGTCTGTCGTATCTTTGATTTCCAGTTGTGGTGGATGTATAAAATGGACGTAGTCAACAAATGTCGTGTTATTTAAAGACAAGACGTCATCAATACATCTGAAGGTGAAATTAAACGACTTTGCATGGTCTTTGTGACCTGTTTTGACAAGCTCTTCAATAGAGTCAGGCTGGTACGAAACCAAAACAAGTCAGCCAACAGAGGGGTGCAGCTGGTTCACATAGGTGTTCCAATAGTCTGATTGCAGATCTTACCACCAAACTCGACAAAGATGTTGTCTACCAGAAACTCGATCTTTTTTATGATCTCGTTCTCCGTATACTTTTTTTTTATTTGGACGTAAAATCTACGAAATACGCTTCAGTATTGTTCATAGCCCTAAATTTATACAGTTTACTTTTTTGGAGCAGAAAGCTCCCAAATCAAGATAACGAAGGCGTTCCTTTGGTTTATAATGGGGTATGGTGGTGTACAGGATGGAAAAATCCAATGTTTTTTTAGAAGATACGATAGAATATGTGTCATCTGTTCACTATGGAATACTAGATGTGTTAGTGTCTCGTTGCAGCAGGGTAGTTATTGTACGATAGCTGCCATGGAGTACAATTCAGTACACCTTTAAAAAGCACGATTTCATGATGTCAGGATATGGAACAATTACAAGTAGGTTGTGTAAGGACCCATGACATGTTTAACAATCAGGACATACATTCCCATATACACTAATTGTCGTTTCAGCGAGTCTTAATAGATTCGATACGGTTGAGTCGCTGGGGTCGTGACCCGAGAACACGACGACTATGGTAAAGAGGAGTATATAACGTATATCATCCGAGTATATGGTATATCCTGCAAGGTAGTGACAGGTCTCCAGGGACTGGTTTGATTCCTCCTTTATTGTTGACAATTGCCTTAGCCAGCTCTTCTGATCGTTTGGTATGAGCGCTGAGATTTGTGATGCGAATATGTATGATATCATTAAATCGATATAGCGGTGCCAATATTTGTCGTATATCACATGAATAAAAATCATTATTTTAAGTCAGGAATACTCTTTTCATCCGTAAATTAAAATTATATCACGCATGACATCATCTTATATACTAACATGTACCACGTGTGGTAATAATTTGGGATTAAATTTGTTTGTTATTTGGTTATGCTAATTTGATCACCCTGTGACCAAATAGGGCCTTTTTGGGTCAGTGTCTCCTTCAATAGCTGGTCCCAAATGTTACCTCATTAATCAATATAAGCTAGGCCCACGGCAAACTATCCAAAACTATTACAGAAAGGTGTCTTGTACAAGGACACAACCACGATAGCACTAGACGATCTGTGGTTTTGTGTCCTTGAGAGCCACGATAAATCCCGAGGGGATCCGATACTCTACTAATTCAGATTTCAACGACCGCTTAGTTTTAAGATGCCGTATCCAAGAATTTTTTCACAACAATTAAATGATGACCTTTTCTACATAAATACTGAGACAGCACCCTGTACCTGTAAACGGGGATGTACGTAAAAGTCCGTATTGGCTAAATCTCTGGTGCACCGCCTAACCGGTCAAACATGTATTCCTTGTATCAAATAACCAAACGTGGTTACGCACAGAAGTGAACAATCTCTAATAGGTGTACAGTAGGCGATTCGTCAGAAAGGAAAAAAATAAGCACGAATCTTTAGAGTGACATGATATTAAACTGAATGCGTTAATTGGATTTTGGGTGTAGCTCAAGTTCATTCCAGTAACAGACAAGACCCATTTCATTTTAGACGTTTCAAATAACACTGTATGGTATATGGTTTAATAGTTTTGGTCTCCTTCGTATATACACTGTATGGTATATGGTTTAATCGTTTTGGTCCCTTCAGTATATACACTGTATGGTAAATGGTTTCATAGTGTTGGTCCCTTCCGTATATACACTGTATGGTATATGGTTTAATAGTGTTGGTCCCTTCAGTATATACACTGTATGGTAAATGGTTTAATAGTGTTGGTCCCTTCAGTATATATACACTGTATGGTAAATGGTTTAATGGTGTTGGTCCCCCGTATATACAATGTTTGGTATATACGTATATACTGTATGGTATATGGTTTAATAGTTTTGGTCTCCTTCAGTATATACAATGTATGGTATATGGTTTAATAGTGTTGGTCCCTTCAGTATATACACTGTATGGTAAATGGTTTAATAGTGTTGGTCCCTTCAGTATATACACTGTATGGTATATGGTTTAATAGTGTTGGTCCCTTTCGTATATACAATGTATGGTATATGGTTTAATGGTGTTGGTCCCTTCCGTATATACAATGTTTGGTATATGGTTTAATAGTGTTGGTCCCTTCCGTATATACAATGTATGGTATATGGTTTAATAGTGTTGGTCCCTTCAGTATATACACTGTATGGTATATGGTTTAATAGTGTTGGTCCCTTCGGTATATACACTGTATTGTATATGGTTTAATAGTTTTGGTCCCTTCAATATATACACTGTATGGTATATGGTTTAATAGTGTTGGTCCCTTCGGTATATACACTGTATGGTATATGGTTTAATGGTTTTTGTCCCTTCGGTATATACACTGTATGGTATATGGTTTAATAGTTTTGGTCCCTTTTAGTATATACACTGTATGGTATATGGTTTAATGGTTTTGGTCCTTTCCGTATATACAATGTATGATATATGGTTTAATGGTTTTGGTCCCTTCAGTATATACACTGTATGGTATATGGTTTAATAGTGTTGGTCCCTTCATTATATACAAGGTATGGTATATGGTTTAATAGTGTTGGTCCCTTCCGTATATACACTGTATGGTATATGGTTTAATAGTGTTGGGTCCTTCAGTATATACACTGTATGGTATATGGTTTAATGGTTTTGGTCCCTTCCGTATATACACTGGAAACATACATCTTCTAATATATACATTCGTGTCTTACCTACGTGGATGTACATACATTGTGTTTCACTGATGATGCGTTTCCTGGTCCAATGTTAGAAAGAATTTCAACAGTAAAGTTCCCTTTCAGAACGAGACTGTATTTTGTTCATCGGGTCAGCGATTTTCATACACACACTAGCTGTTTGTGAAATCCATTTGAGTGATAGCAATCTGCTGAATAATGAGACAAGTTTGACTTTAAATTGCAGTTGGGTAGAAAAATCACTCGCAACACAAAATATAAAGCCACTAAACACAAAATGAAAGTAGATCCTGACATAAAGTAACTCACCCAACCTTAACACGACATCCTGGTACAGAGTAACTCACCCAACCTTAACACGACATCCGGATATAGAGTAACTCACCCAACCTTAACACGACATCCTGGTACAGAGTAACTCACCCAACCTTAACACGACATCCTGGTACAGAGTAACTCACCCAACCTTAACACGACATCCTGGTACAGAGTAACTCACCCAACCTTAACACGACATCCTGATACAGAGTAACTCACCCAACCTTAGCACGACATCCTGATACATAGTAACTCACCCAACCTTAACACGACATTCTGATACAGAGTAACTCACTCAACCTTAACACGACATCCTGATACAGAGTAACCCACCCAACCTAACACGACATCCTGATACAGAGTAACTCACCCAACCTTAACACGACATCCTGATACAGAGTAACTCACCCAACCTTAACACGACATCCTGATACAGAGTAACTCACCCAACCTTAACACGACATCCTGACACAAAGGACATCATGATACACATAGTATGGCGTCTTACCATCGAAATCTTGTATTTATAAAGGGAAGGGAGATATGATAGTTTTTGTCTGAAGCTTCAGAAATGAAAAACGCACTTTCCTAGATACTATCATGATTTTTTAAAAAGTAGATATAAGGCAATGTCAGTTCTTTGAAATTTATTTTCCTTCTCGTTACGCTCTCAACACTTAGGAATAATAAATCTTATTTGTGATATTTTATATGAATAACTAATCCGGTTTGAAGAGAAATGACGATATCAGGAGATGCCTATTATGTCGTCAGCCACAAGTATTTTTGTACTTATCAAACGTTCGTACAGTTGCACATATATAATAGGATATATACATCTGATAGAAACAGAACCCGTGTTAAGTAAACCTCGCTTGTCAATACTGTGGAACAACACATCGTTCTACATGAATTTACGCTGTTCCTATACTGTCTGTGGTAATTCATTAAGTACAAGTTATCATTTTTTTTCTCCTCAGAATAAAATCCACTTTTCACGTGGTTACCAGTAGAGACAACGTAACGTTCTAGACGGCAATTTGGCCGATTACGTCATCCCTGACGAACGCTCGTAGAAGACACATTTCGTTGATATTTTGTCAATAACCATATGTACTGGATTGGTGCTTATTGGTGTTTATATGTAAAAGAACCGCGATATTCAAAGATTAAGTACAGACAAGTCTTGTTTTTTTTCAGTTTCCACACTTTATGACATAACGGAATCTAAACGAGATCTCTATTGTCACTCAGTTGCTTGGGCTTCTATCCATGTACCCGTCGGTCCGAGGAAATATCGAGGATCGCCAAGTTAACAGGAAACTATCTGTTTTGCCTTCCCTACCTAAACTTTGGGATGTGTCTATGTTACGGTATTCACTCTCATTCTTTCGGGAAATTAAACCACACAATATGACGTGAGGATTTCTCTTCTTATGTCGTGTAATATCGAGGGAACAGTTCCTAATGTCGCTGTGATTTAGGGTCGGAGACCTTGTTTTGAAAGGACATCTTTCATAATTTTTTTTATATCTAATGAAAACCAGCAAGAATGGAATCTACTTATAAGGGAAGTTAACTGGAATCAGAGCATTCACTATAAATCACTAATGTGCCCGCGTGCCAATTATCGGTTAATTTTTAAACTTGTCAATTTTTTTTTCAAAAATGTCTAAACATCCTTTAATATCGGCCTTGAAATTATTTTCTCGGTAGATTCGAAAGAGACATTGCCATGCCACACGAAACTTTATCAAATTGATACTTGAAAGACACCAAAGCACTTTATGAACCATTTTCAAAAGTAAAAACTTGACATCGCAGACACTTTGTCTCAAGAAATCCGATAACAACCCAACGACTTCAGAAGACTATTAACACCAAACAAAATTCTGTGTAAAAAAGAATTACAAAAAAAACCTTCAAAACTGCCTAATTTATTAAGATGCTTCAGGGTAAAATAACTATTGTTCACGAATGAAGGTGATAGATGACAAATTTAGCTAATGTCTTAGCCCTGCCAGGTACAACATCACTTTTCTCCATCAATAATACGCTGTCTAAGTATCAATACCATGGTCACAATGTAAGGCCGTATCCTGAAGGCAACGTGTACCTCTAGGGACTATATAAGTATTGTGACTTAATGGAAAATTCCCGGCGGAGATCCCTTACCACTGTACCAGTAGGACTCTTTCCTTTGACGTTCCCCTCTTTAAAACGACGTTATCATATATATAATGTACTTTGATCTCAAGTGTAGTTTACATACATATAGTCTTCCACATGTGATACACATAGCTTACTAATCAAGTCTAACCTCGGTAGGGTCTACCTAATATGTGTAGGATTCCTTTTTAAAGCCAATCCCATCCTTGGTTTCTTCATCAAATCTTTCTCGGTAGTCTTTGGTTGCAAATACTGGTTCCGTGATCTCTGTGATATATACCTATGGTTTAGAAACTACCCGGGAAATCAGAATTCAAATACCAAGTTTGTTTTAGTGTCCAACAATTCTGTACCCGAGAATTGAGTTCTCGTCGCTTCTAGTTACTAGTTGAAAAATCAACGAGGGTTTTGTGTTTCATGTTCACTATCAAGAGATAGTGTCCAACAATTCTACACCCGAGATTAGAGTTCTTGTCGCTTCTAGTTACTAGTTGAAAAATCCACGAGGGTTTTGTGTTTCATTTTCACTATCAAGACATTGAGAGTATTTTGTTTAACAATCTATGATTGTGTTTCACGTGAGAAACCTGGTAACATAGACGACAACAGCCTTATTGTACTAAATTTGTTCCGTACTTTGACTAATTTCTCTGTCTCTAAATTCACTCAAGACCATATATGTGAATTTGTCCTGTAAGTGTGTGTGGCATGTGTATGTGTTATTATTCTGTGTTAAAACTTTATTAAAACTGTAAGTATTAATTTGGGATTAATATAAAATTTTTCCCGTTCAGTCTGTATAGCTCTGAATTATTTCATCGTTCCAGATACAGCCGCCTCTGTTTCTATCTCAAAGGGTATAGCAGTGTCGCTGTTCCCATACCCGTACCCTGGTCACGTGGAACTGTTTGAGGGCGTCGACCCGAAAGAAATGACGTCGGCAACATCAAGTACCCAGCATCCATTTCTTCAGGAAAATATTTTGATCACCAAGTTGGTTCCAGACCCGTCTAGCGATTCTTTTTTCTATATAGACGTGTACAGCAACAGTATCTACCGCTGGAATAACGTAACTACCACCTTAAATGACCAGACCGTTTCCACCGTCGATCAAACAAGTAAGGTGTTTGAGGGACTCTCACGGGCCATCTGTAAGCTTGAATATGATTATTTAACGGGGAATCTGTACTGGAGTGACCCCTTGTTACACTGGATAGGTGTAATGAATGTCGAATCGAATGACCGTCGCGACATCAAGCTTCTCCTCACTGATGACGTAGATTACGTAGCAGCCTTGACCTTGGATGTCGAAAGCGGGTAGGTGTCGTTTGGTCGTTCAAAAATCCGTTCATGTCTACAATACGTGCTCATTTTAATTATAAAAAAGGAGGTATGTTTTAACCTCTCCTACAAAACACTTAATTACATCTTCTGTATGTTGTAGTGAATTTAGACTTTATTGCGTTTCCACGGAACAATTTGATCAATGACTATTAAATTCAACGTAGAGAACAATCGTCATGGTTTTATATCTAATAGTAGACCATACAGTTAAAGAAAAAATATAAACTGATCAGAATGACCACTGTTTTTCCAGAGTGACCACTGTATGGCCATAATTTGACTTTTTTTTTTTACTAGAATGACCACTTTTTCATTTCTTACCTAGATACTTATTCTGGGTTTCGTCGGCTTATGAAGATGGAAAAATGGAAAGAAGTAATTTACATGGAGGAGACCGTAAGGTGATCATTTCCAACAGCCTTGGGTTCGTGGATGATATGGCATTAGATATGCATGAGAAAAAGCTCTACTGGGTGGACAGTTATCGAATGACCGTTGAATCGGCAGGATACGACGGCAATGGACGTAGGATCGTTCGTCGGCTGGTGGGAACCGAGTTCACCTCTATTGCTGTAATAGAGGTATGTTGGTCACTGAATAACCTTCATTTAGCAGTGAAAAAAACACTTTGTATGTCAAAAAGTATGAACTGGTCTTCATTTCCTATAATAATTCCTTGGTCACTCTCAATTAAATATAGAGATTCATGGTCAGGTATTAATTAACGAATGTTTAACTTTAATAAGTTTTCTGTCTTAATTAGAAAAAAAATTAAATGTTGTTTCGTTAAGTAGAGAAAAAAAATGTTGCTGTTCCGTTCAGTACTATACTGTGAATGCCATATATGACAGGTCAGTAGCTTTGATTAAGCTGCCTATATTTAATAGGTATGGTTGTTGGTTACCAGTAAGTGAAGATTACTAAATATTCGATGAACAGGGTTGGTGGTTATAAGTAATTAGAAATAAGTACATGTAAAAATTTGATGTGGTAAGCAATTCATCAGACAGTCATGTGAAGCATGACCTTCATTAACCATTGAGAAACTCAGTTGTATGTATGTTTGGTCTTTAAAGGAAAAGGTATTTTAAATTTGCAAGTTGATCATATATCACCGTTATAGCCAGGGGTAGATTTGAGAGAATGTTAACACTGGATTATTTGTGGAATACAAGTAGTTGAGGTACTGAACACATGCTATTCAATGAGATTCTGTCATACAAATCAGAAAGACAAAGGTCTGGAGAGTTACGAAACCTCAAATTATATATTTTTAGAATTGGAAAAGAAATTGGTTTGAGGTTTCTTAATTTCTTAACATAAATATTCATGAGATGAATCTGTCCGTTGTCATTCTACAGCATCAGGTTATTTACTGCCTGGAAAAGTAGCCTGGATTTGATAGAACTAACACAGAGGATTTCATGAGATGATTGGAAAATAATTTAATAGTCATCTTGTTGATATGGTGGGGAAACATTTTCTTGTATGGTATGAAGCTATTTGTGTTTCATTTTGTTAGTATGTATACCTTATGATTTAGTTGTTGGTAAACTTTTATTTGAAACACAAAATTTCTTTCTTGGTTCACCCAAGGAATAAAACATGACAATTAAGCATCATCTACAAAGCATAAGATGCTTACCATTCTGAAACACCTGGTTTATTCTCCTTATACCTTTTTAGGGGTATCCATGTAAATTCCTCTTTTCTTTGTAATTTGTTCTCATTTTAATGATACTGAGTTTGAATTTTGATTTGGTAAACATATCAGTTTTTTCTGCTTCTCACACAATTTTGTGGCCCATTTTCAGTAATTTGAAGCTACGTGACAGTAAGGGCACAACAAACCCGATATCATTTACTATTTTTGTAAAGTAAATAAGCTTTCATTAGAAACTCTACTTGAACATTCCACACACGCAGCCAAAATATCATGTTATCATATATGTGTATAACAGTGTTTTTTGTACTTAATATTGAAGCTCTGAAAACATTTCAGCTGCTTGACTGATTTAACAAACATTCTTTGTACTATTTTAAGCACTTCCAAACAATGAGTTACAGTCATATTGTCATACTATATACTCCATAAGTGGGAAGTTTGAGTGATGATATCTCTGACTCTTGAGATACATATTGGAACAGGCGGATTTGTTTTTGTTTCTTGAGGTTGAATGTGCTGTTTATTGTGACATTGCAATGACTTTGCCGAGCTGTTGTTTTGGTTTGATAAGAGATTTATTGATCGTAGTGATGTTTTTGACCTTGAATTAATGCAAGAACATGAATGCCTCTTCTACATCTGTTGTATATTCCAAGAGACCTACAGCACATGGCATATGATCAATAGGTAGAGAACAGGCTTACATCACAGGGCTTAGAGAGATATAGAATCACAGGGCTTAAAAAGAGACATACAGCACAGGGCTAAGAGAAATGTAGGCTTACATAATAGGATTTTAGAGAATTGCAGTCTTACATCACAGGGCTTAGAGAGATATAGACACTCCTCACAGGGCTTAAAAGATGCAGGCTTATGTCACAGGGCTTAAAGAGATGTAGATATACATCATAGGGCTTAGTGAAATGTAGGCTTACATCACAGGTTTAAAGAGATGCAGGCTTACATCACAGGGCTTAGAGAGATATAGACACTCCTCACAGGGCTTAAAAGATGAAGGCTTACATCACATCCCATAAAGAGATGTAGACCCTTTTCACAGGGCTTAGAGAGATTTAGACTTATATCACAGGGCTTAGAGAGATGTAGACCCTTTTCACAGGGCTTAGAGAGATGCAGACTTATATCACAGGGCTTAGAGAGATTTAGACTTATATCACAGGGCTTAGAGAGATGTAGACCCTTTTCAAAGGCCTTAAAAGATTTAGACTTATATCACAGGGCTAAGAGAGATGTAAGCTTACATCACAGGGCTACGAGAGATGTAAGCTTACTTTACAGGGCTAAGAGAGATGCAGAAACATCACAGGGCTTAGAGAGATGCAGAAACATCACAGGGCTTAGAGAGACCTACAGCATTCATCTTAGAGAGATGCAGTCTTACATGTTCAGGGTTTAGAAATATCCTGGCTTACACCACAGGGCTTAGTGACTTATAGACTGATATCATTTGGAATAGGGACATGCATATTCATGCAGGCTATTTGGAAGATTTGCCATCACTGCTGTGATTTCATTTGGGGGTGCTGCTTAATCAAACTTGTAGGTTTATGACTATTTCTATTTTTGTTTTTTTGTTTTTGTTTTTGTTTTGTTGTTGTCATTAAATCAATCCAAAAGTTTAAGATGGGACTTCTAAAATTTGATTTGTATAGTGGACACATCTGATAAAACAGAAGAATTCATCATTTGTGGAATATGTAGTTTTATACTATGTGTTCATCTTTTCTCTTCATTAAAAACTTATATCTGAAGAATATAAATTGGATATTTTCATAGGTGCAAGTAATGGGATTCAACCTAATTAGTGTTATATATATGTATTTATAAATGATTCCACTATGAACAGCTACCACGGCAAGCTAGTTAGACTTGTAAATAAACCACAAAGACTCAATATGAATTGAAGTTGGCCTTTTTATTAATGACATATATATAAATGTACATATGTAAACTCTCAATGAATGTACATCATATACCAAATTTTCTTGTTAACAGTGTTGTGAAAATCATTAAATAAGCCCATGATGGGAGTCAGAAAACTCCTCTCGACAAAAGTACATCAAAATACAATGGTTAAGTGAAACCATGAAATGGAAAAAACAGGCAAGCAACTAGCCTTTAATGAGGGAAAGTAACCCCACTATTGAAGACATATCTAAAGAGATATACAACATGTAATAATTACTGGCTTAAATGCATGTAAGAAAAGAAACTTCAGTTCATGACAAAGTCATAAGATAAGCAAATAAGATTTATTCATTTAACCACCATGGGAAAATAAAAAGTAGGCCATAACAATGTCAGAAAGTATGCAACAACTACTAGGTAGTTATTATGTAACCAACAGACAAATTAAGTACAACAATTAAATAAGATGATGGGAGGACCGCAGGGGAGGAGGTGGGAAAAGGAATTTAAATGTCAATAAACTTTGACAGCAAATCATTTAAAGAAAAGATGCTACTGACCTTGTTCCTCCATGATGTCCGAAAGGTCTCTGACCAGTGGTGGTCAATGCCCTTTACTTATATAGCGTGCCAAAAATAGCACCAAATTAATGCATCCCAAGACCTATCACCTCCTTCCAAACGGTCAGCATCCGCTCTTAAATAACGTAACCACAAACATTATATAGTTCCATCTATAAACTTAGTCCACATAACAAAGAAATAAAATAAATGTGGAACATTCATAAATGACATTAAACCAATCATTTAATAAGTATATGTATTTATATAACACAGTCACTGTTTGTACTGTGGAAAGTAAGAGTGTTTGGCTTTCGTGTAACATGAGGAATTCCTGTGTGTTAGGAGTAAGGACAGGATTTGCCTCAGTCTGCAAACTACAAAATATTTATTCAATATATTTTGCCATCCTTTACCGCCAAATAACCAATTTGGATCACACTTACATATGATGTTTGACTAAATTTCTTTTGTTTCAGAGCAATATCTGCCTGATTAATTTTGATGACTTTGAGATGCAGTGTATGTACAAGACCTCAGGAGATCGTTATGCCTACCATAGTTTCTATCCTAGTAACCCTTACGCTGTAGGGTTCTTCAATCCGGATGTTCAGAAGACTCCGTTAGAAAGTAAGTTAATCATACCTACTTCTGGAGACTGGATAGAAAACTGAAGGCAGACAGGGGCTCCATGGCTCCTGTAATCACCTTTTTTAGACTTGAATAAAATTAATGGAATAATATTAATTCTAGGAAAAAATTCTTATGAGTCATAATATCCATGAAAAGTACATCTTCGATGCTTTAATGAGAAAATGTAAAAAAAAAAAAAAAAATGTGGTGTGTAAGTAAATCGTTTCTTATTGTAGAATGAGTAAGATATCCTTTCAATAAATATCTACAACATGGGGAGAAATTTTGTAATATTTCAGATAGGAGTCAAACATTCACTCCAGTAAATTAGTCACTGAAATAGAGAATGAAAATCGAGTAAAATTTCCCTCAGTAGAGAATGAGTAAAATATCCCCTCAGTAGATATTGAGTAAAATATCCCCTCAGTAGATATTGAGTAAATTATCCCCTCAGTAGATAGATTATTAGATATTGTAAATTATCCCCTCAATAGATATTGAGTAAAATATCCCCTCAGTAGATATTGAGTAAATTATCCCCTCAGTAGATATTGAGTAAAATATCCCCTCAGTAGATATTGAGTAAATTATCCCCTCAGTAGATATTGAGTAAAATATCCCCTCAGTAGATATTGAGTAAATTATTCCCTCAATAGATATTGAGTAAATTATCCCCTCAGTAGATATTGAGTAAAATATCCCCTCAGTAGATATTGAGTAAATTATTCCCTCAATAGATATTGAGTAAATTATCCCCTCAGTAGATATTGAGTAAATTATTCCCTCAGTAGATATTGAGTAAATTATCCCCTCAGTAGATATTGAGTAAAATATCCCCTCAGTAGATATTTGGTAAAATATCCCCTCAGTATATATTGAGTAAAATATCGCCTCTGTAGATATTAGAGAGTATTGACTCATATTGAAGGATAGTCAACAGTTCTGAAAATTGCAAACAATTTATTAATAGTGAAAGTGGTACATAAACAATGCAGTTGTAAGTCATGTCATGTAATAAAATGGTCAGGTGCTGTGACCAAGTCTTGTGTTACTGAAGCTAGATATTATTTACCTTACAGATAAATGTGTTAATACAGCCTGTGATAAAATAAGCACAGTTAAATGTGTTAATACAGCCTGTAATAAAATAAGCATGGAAAATTAACATTAAAGTTAAATGTGTTGATACAGCCTGTGATTACATATGTGTGGAAACTTTACCTTACAGATAAATGTGTTGATACAGCCTGTGATTAAATATGTGTATAAACTTTACCTTACAAATAAATGTGTTGATACAGCCTGTGATTACATATGTGTGGAAACTTTACCTTACAGATAAATGTGTTGATACAGCCTGTGATTACATATGTGTGGAAACTTTACCTTACAGATAAATGTGTTGATACAGCCTGTGATTAAATATGTGTATAAACTTTACCTTACAAATAAATGTGTTGATACAGCCTGTGATTACATATGTGTGGAAACTTTACCTTACAGATAAATGTGTTGATACAGCCTGTGATTACATATGTGTGGAAACTTTACCTTACAGATAAATGTGTTGATACAGCCTGTGATTACATATGTGTGGAAACTTTACCTTACAGATAAATGTGTTGATACAGCCTGTGATTACATATGTGTGGAAACTTTACCTTAGAGATAAATGTGTTGATACAGCCTGTGATTACATATGTGTGGAAACTTTACCTTACAGATAAATGTGTTGATACAGCCTGTGATTACATATGTGTATAAACTTTACCTTACAGATAAATGTGTTGATACAGCCTGTGATTACATATGTGTGGAAACTTTACCTTACAGATAAATGTGTTGATACAGCCTGTGATTAAATATGTGTGGAAACTTTACCTTACAGATAAATGTGTTGATACAGCCTGTGATTACATATGTGTGGAAACTTTACCTTACAGATAAATGTGTTGATACAGCCTGTGATTACATATGTGTATAAACTTTACCTTACAGATAAATGTGTTGATACAGCCTGTGATTACATATGTGTGGAAACTTTACCTTACAGATAAATGTGTTGATACAGCCTGTGATTACATATGTGTGGAAACTTTACCTTACAGATAAATGTGTTGATACAGCCTGTGATTACATATGTGTGGAAACTTTACCTTACAGATAAATGTGTTGATACAGCCTGTGATTACATATGTGTGGAAACTTTACCTTACAGATAAATGTGTTGATACAGCCTGTGATTACATATGTGTGGAAACTTTACCTTACAGATAAATGTGTTGATACAGCCTGTGATTAAATATGTGTATAAACTTTACCTTACAGATAAATGTGTTGATACAGCCTGTGATTACATATGTGTGGAAACTTTACCTTACAGATAAATGTGTTGATACAGCCTGTGATTACATATGTGTGGAAACTTTACCTTACAGATAAATGTGTTGATACAGCCTGTGATTACATATGTGTGGAAACTTTACCTTACAGATAAATGTGTTGATACAGCCTGTGATTACATATGTGTGGAAACTTTACCTTACAGATAAATGTGTTGATACAGCCTGTGATTACATATGTGTGGAAACTTTACCTTACAGATAAATGTGTTGATACAGCCTGTGATTAAATATGTGTATAAACTTTACCTTACAGATAAATGTGTTGATACAGCCTGTGATTACATATGTGTGGAAACTTTACCTTACAGATAAATGTGCTACTAAGAGCTGTGATCAGATATGCATTAACACAGATACCCAACCCAAGTGCTTGTGTAGAAACGGTTACACACTAAACCCGAACGGACTGACCTGTAGTGGTAAGTACATAAGTAACTAATAATTCACATATTTCTGTGTACCTTTAACAAATAACAGCATGAGTTGATGCTGTACAGTGTGATAGTAAAATGAAATCACATTCAAATTTTCCTTAGAATGTTTTATTCTGACATTGAGGGGTAATGTTGAAATTTTGAACTTTTATTCCTTAAATCTTCTTAAACATTAATTGAATTCTTGTAAACATGCTAGATAAGCATATGTCTTTAAATTTGTTAAGATAAAAGTTTTCTCCTGCAGAGACCAACCCGATGTACGAGACAGCTGTAGTTATGATCAACACAACTCACATCTGTATGATCCAGGTGTCCTCCCTTTCCTCTTCGTCCCCCAATAAACCTATTCGTTGTGAGGAGACAAATGCCACAAAAGATGCAACTCATGTCCAGGCTCATGTAGCAAAGAACCTGCTGTACTATACGGCTAAGAGCAAGGAGCCAACATCAATGAACAAGACCCAGCTGCTCCTTTTCGACCTCAGTGACCAAATACACTATGTGGTGGTGCCGGACATGGAAGAACCTGATGGTAGGTGTTTGAACCTGGTCATCCTTAAATGCATCAGAGGCACAACTTCTTTTTTAACCATATAAAATGTCAACAGCTATCAACTTTATTTCTGTGAAACAAGCTGTTAACTTATAGTTATAAGTCAGTCTTGTTGGACTGGATGGAAGTTTTACTATAGAGGAAACAGGACTTCATGGGAGAATCCATGAGTCTAAAGCAGTCTAAAAAGGCAAGTGCTTTACCATTGTGCCACCCGACCACTCCATTAAAAGGATTTATGAATAAGTATTTGAAAATTGATAAGATACATATATGTTCATACGCAATGTTTGTTTTGATAAGTGTCAGTCAGTGCCTGGAATGAGCAAATCTTAAATGGCACGATGACATTCTTGGTTGAGAGTATCAAGAAAATGATACACCAATAAATATTGGTTAACTGCTTAGAACTTCAAGAAGTGAAGGAAATTTGGCAATTTCTTTTGTGTACATCATCTTTATGTTTCGTATAAATTGGAAGTAAGTGAAACAAATTCAGGAAAGTGAAAATGCTGTTGTAGTATTTTTTATTAACATTAGCTACCAGTAAAATGCAGAGCACCTATGCGTCATGTTTTTCACTTCCATTTTAATATTTTTCGGATTGACCAAGTAAGAGGACTTCTGACCCTGGACGTGGCTTTACATATGTTAGCAATGTAGAGCTTCATTCAGGAGCCTTCGGTGCCTGAAAAGCTCTGTTCTTATCAAATGGATAGCATGCCCTGAAAACACCAAAAGTATTAGAGTACAGTTTTGCTGGAGTTAGAACACAATTTTTTTTTACTTGTATATAATTCTGGTCTGTGTAAGTCATATCACTTCATTTTACTGTTCATAGCAGCACTATTTGTGTTTCTACTACAGTACCCTCATAGTTTGGTAGATATTGTTTGAATTCAACATTACTTTTCTTACAGACATTGCATATGATTGGATAGGTGAAAAGATGTTTACCTGTCATAGTAGACTGAATTTAATCAAAGCCTGGGATGTTGTGACAAAGCTGTCCTCCATCATCTACCAGGGCGACTCTGTGGCCCAGGTATCTGAGATAACCATCGATCCACATAGGGAGTAAGTACTCTTAATGTTTGTTTTCTCATTTGGACAACTTACATTTATGTATGCATACACCTATGTATGTCTAAACGAAAACTACGTTGTAATCCGAGAAAGATTACAATTCATCAACAGTCAAATTTCTTTGGAAGTTAATGAAAAAACTGTAACACCTGTTTTATCTTGTCCTATGTAGTCATAAGATGAGACTCAAAGTGGTACTATTGATTATAGGTGAGTCATCATGACTTAATCAGAGGTTGATTGTGATCCATAAATGTATTATAATAGTTGATTAAGCTATTAAAAAAACTATTGGTTATAGTTTATTGCCCTCTGACCTGCTATAGGTTATATTGCTTTGACCTTTGACCTGTTATTGACATATACTTATTGACATGTATACATGTTATGTTTTGACCTTTGACATACTGTTGGTACTATCTAACTGACCTTTGACCTGCATTTGGTCATAGTATTTTGACATTTGACCTGCTCTTTGTACTCTCTTGCTGAGTAGTCTTCTTATTAATATTTGACCTATAATTTTATCTAGAATTCTAAAGTATGATTATTTTGAATTATTTTCCAGTAACATATTTTGGATTGCAAAAACAAGCAACGGATTAGGTGTTTTCCTTGGCACGTTCACAGGACAAGCACCTGTGAGGCTTGTAAACAGTGGTTCCCTTACCCTACCAACTGGACTCAGCTTTGAATATCTCGAAGACAGGTAAATACGAGAATTGTTTTTGAAGTCCTATCAACACATTACTTTGAAACATCAGAAAGGGTGTAGAGCCAACACTGTATTTCTAGTAAAGTTAGAGTAGGTCCGTGGTCCCTTGCTTGGATACCTCCAGGTATGCAGGGCGAATGCAGTGAAGTAAGGAACTAAGGGTTAAGAGGCAATCGCAACAAGCTCAGGATCGTGAAGAAGTACATATGTTATGAGCAAAACCGATAGATGAAGAATAATAAGTAACAATTTTAGAATCCTGAGCTTGTTGCGATTGCCTCTTACCCCTTAGTTCCTTACTTTGAAATAGTTATGATCAGTCATGTTTTCATTTGTCTTGTTCAGTTCTGAACGTCAAGCAAGAAACTTCCAATCCCTGTCATATTGATTACCTAGGTCTTGTCATTTTTAAATGATTGTCTAAACAACCTTCCCCTGGCTTATCAGATTAGATTAGTGATCATGTAGTGGCTGTCGGGATATGGATCAATGAACAAATGATATTCTGATAGCAAAAACAATCCTATTGGGAACATTCAGAAAAGTATTTTGGGGTTAATATTGTTCTGGTTAATTTTCAGCGTTTGCTTCCTTGATTCTGGACGTTTCTTTACTGTTAATGTCAATGGGACCATCACCAATCATCGGATATCTGTAGGCAGTGCCACACAGACACTTATTTACAAGGTAAACTTACTTTATACTGTAGGCAGTGCCACACAGACACTTATTTACAAGGTAAACTTACTTTATACTGTAGACAGTGCCACACAGACACTTATTTACAAGGTAAACTTACTTTATACTGTAGACAGTGCCACACAGACACTTATTTACAAGGTAAACATACTTTATACAAAACTAACAAATATCTGTAGGCAGTGCCACACAGACACTTATTTACAAGGTAAACATACTTTATACTGTAGGCAGTGCCACACAGACACTTATTTACAAGGTAAACTTACTTTATACTGTAGACAGTGCCACACAGACACTTATTTACAAGGTAAACTTACTTTATACAGAACTAACAAATATCTGTAGGCAGTGCCACACCGACACTTATTTACAAGGCAAACTTACCTTATACAGAACTAACAAATATCTGTAGGCAGTGCCACACCGACACTTATTTACAAGGTAAACTTACTTTATACAGAACTAACAATTATCTGTAGACAGTGCCACACAGACACTTATTTACAAGGTAAACTTACTTTATACTGTAGGCAGTGCCACACAGACACTTATTTACAAGGTAAACTTACTTTATACTGTAGGCAGTGCCACACAGACACTTATTTACAAGGCAAACTTACTTTATACTGTAGGCAGTGCCACACAGACACTTATTTACTAAGTAAACTTACTTTATACAGAACTAACAAATATCTGTAGGCAGTGCCACACAGACACTTATTTACAAGGTAAACTTACTTCATACTGTAGGCAGTGCCACACAGACACTTATTTACAAAGTAAACTTACTTTATACAGAACTAACAAATATCTGTAGGCAGTGCCACACAGACACTTATTTACAAAGTAAACTTACTTTATACAGAACTAACAAATATCTGTAGGCAGTGTCACACAGACACTTATTTACAAGGTAAACTTACTTTATACTGTAGGCAGTGTCACACAGACACTTATTTACAAGGTAAACTTACTTTATACTGTAGGCAGTGCCACACAGACACTTATTTACAAGGTAAACTTACTTTATACAGAACTAACAAATATCTGTAGGCAGTGCCACATAGACACTTATTTACAAGGTAAACTTACTTTATACTGTAGGCAGTGCCACACAGACACTTATTTACAAGGTAAACTTACTTTATACTGTAGGCAGTGCCACACAGACACTTATTTACAAGGTAAACTTACTTTATACAGAACTGTCAAATATCTGTAGGCAGTGCCACACAGACACTTACTACAAGGTAAACTTAAATTCATTTTATACAGAACAAATGCATATCTTTAATCAATGCAATGACTATTATCTAGAATAGAAATTATCATAGAGTACAATCAGATATGTGTAGGTAAATCTTTTACTTACGCGTGAATCAGTGTTTGGTACACTATAACTGTTTGTTATGTTCATTTAGTTACATTTTCATAGCAGATAATTCATGTCACAACATTCTGATTCAGTGTTTCTTATTATATTAAAACAACATGCTGATATTTATTGAAATTGATTACTTTTATATCTATCACTATGTTATAATGTTGTTGATCACCAGCAATAATCACACATAACTTTTTCATGTCAATCTGTAGAACTATGCGATATGGAACTCAGGACCTGCTACACTAAAGATGTCTTTGTATTCCTTGGACGCCATTATCTATACTACTGTCACAACTATGGGAACTATTCTATCCATGACTCTCTTTGCTTCGGAAGCCCAGAAATCATATCTAGGTAGGTATACAGAATACAGTGTCAGATGTTCAATTACTAGATCGCTGTTCAATACCTGCCTGTGATAGCTTTCTGTTTAGACACACTAATGCAAAATATCTTAACATATTTCCAGGTTATAAGCCACAGCATTTTCCCTTGGTGGTCTGATGTGAGGCTTATATACCAGTGAGGCTTATATGTGGATGTTAAAAATTGGCAAAGGGAAAAAAAAAAGGGGGAAGCATACCAGTACACCAGTACGAGACAGTTTTTATGAATATCTGTCCATCACATGTTTGTGACTGAAACAGATTGTCTAGAACTGTCATTTGCAATCTTGGTATGATTTTAAGATTGAAATAAAAATAACATTCTCGATAATTTGATCAATCATACCTTTTAATATGAATCACAATAGTATCTTCTGAACTTTTGTGGTTGCATCAGAAGCCATAGGGGAAGTGTACAATAGCCTGTTGCATCCTTTGGTCAACATCATGGTTACCACATTGTTAAAAAGGCTTATAAATTCCGAAACACAAATTGATATAAAACTTGAATGTACCCACACCGTATAATTAACGATAACATACATACCAAATTAAACTGCACTATATAGCATACAACATATTACCATATTTATCAAAAAATATGATCTACAGTGACAGTACACAGTTCTGAATGTGTATTTGTATAAACTTAAATTTTAATCCTAACCATAGTGCGACTCTATTTTCCGTGTTAATTTCATGTTTAATATAAATGTGAATTTAATTTCTTTCATGAATACTTACTTTGCTGATTTCAGTAATCTAACACGTTCATGTCAGTTTACTATCATGAATTCTAAGCCACCATTGTAAAATTTGAAGCATACAGTCTTCATCTATCGCGAATTTGGCTGTGACAGGTGAGAATACCATAGGATGTTTGACAGACACAGTTCAGTAGTGACATGTTCATAGACCAGAACAACTTTTTGACATCTTTATGAACAGCATTTGGTACAATACCTTGATAAATATACCAGTCTAATTCAAATTCAAATTCATTAGGTGTCTCATATTTTTGTTTAGATAGCAACGATAAAGTTATAGGTGACCCAGTCATAGAATTCAAACACACTGAAGATCTCGAATGGAGGGTTGGATTTACCAAACACAAACTCTTCAGAATCGATTTCTCAAAGAAATAAATTGTCCTTGACACCGAATTAAACCAGAGATTTATGAAATGCATTTTGGTGGTATAAATAGTTATTCACGCTTATAAGACAACAGATATTAACAAAACAAATCAGAGTTCATCATCTATGTGTTAAGTAATGGCATTTATTTTTCACAGTTGTGCTTTGATAGTGATATTCATGAAAGAATATCGAATGCGAGATAAAATAAGTTTATAAAAATCTGTCAGTGGATCATTTTTTGGGAAATTTCCCTTCGTGGCACTTACAATTATGAATTTTTCGTTCTCCGAACTCACAATTAAATGACACGTAATCACGACATTGTTTAAAAACGAATCTTGCAAGACACTAACATGTTATAATTCATTGATTAATACTTTCACAGATCCTTGTAAGAGAAGTAATGGAGGCTGTGATGACTTATGTTTCCGGCGAGAGGCAACAGCTGTCTGCCAGTGTGACTTTGGTCGAACTCTGAAGGCAGATAATAGAGGCTGTAGTGCAGGTATGTTGTTTATATTACGGGTAACTGGATCGGTCTGTGGTTCACTAGGGTTCCATTCATTGTCTAACCATTAATAACAGTCTTCCTTGTTTTGTTTATTGATAAGTTCATATAACAATAGAACGACTTGTGTTGAGCAAATAATATGTTAGGCATTTTTGTAGCATTCGGAGAGCTTGGGTTCAAAGCCTAGTCAAACCACAATGGTCTTTGGTCGTATTTTTTTATTTGGGTTAAATAGAAAAATTTTAATGAAGATTCATGAAAATGTCATTTTCAGCATTACAAGTGATGTCAGATTCTCAAAATGAAAGTCAGAACTGTGAAGCTTCAAAAGTTATTGTAAACACTACAAAGTGAAATCAAACATTCCCACTGATGCCATGATAATGATGACACATAGTTTTCATCAATCTACATCTTGCAGAACTTTGAACTTTCTCCTTCTATTGGAAGCACTACAATAATGTTAAGACATGGAAAATTTACTGTTGAAAATTAGAACGTCACCTTATCCACCAGGCAGTAAGATTACATTATGCTATGTCTTTGTGTTTGAAATGAAAAATAGGAACATTGCAAGGTCTTTCTTATCAATCTATCAAATAATTTCAGCCTCATATTACAATCAAATCTACATTATGTAAGAGATGGACAAATTGCATTGTACGCTATAAGTAATCTACAAATTTCTATAATTTGCATTAGGGATCGTTTGACATTCATGGCCTTCTGTATTTTTGGTTGTACTGTCAAACTAAAAATATGAAGGGACTTACATAAAAATACTACACTACTTATTAGTAAATACTAACAGTCTGAATAAATGTAAAATGTATTGTTCAAAGTTTACAGTAAATGAGAATAGAAAAAAATACTTAATGTTTATTACTGTTTACCTGTAAATAAAATAGACTAATTAAATGTACTAGTTATCTTTGTAAGTTTACCTGTAAATAAGAATAGACTAAATGACAATATGATATTTGTAGCTGGCATTGTTTCCAACTGTAAATAACAATAGACCTTACAAATCACATAGTCAGTATATTAGTCAATATGTAACTGAATACTGATAAGATTAACTAGTTTGATATGTCATCTTTTTCAGATCCATTGTTAAATGACTTCCATTTGGTGACGGATCTGTCGCATGATCGTATTGTCCAAGTTTCTTCAGATGGCCAAAAAATAATCACCTTGCCTCTCAATAATGTTATGACCCCAGCCATGGCTCGGTACGGTTTTCATGATGATCTGCTCTACTGGAGTGAAGTAGGCAGTAGATCTATCAGACGGGGTAAACTGGATGGTACACATAGTGAGAGACTGATAAGTGTTGGGGGTAAGTCAGTCTCTATGATACCATGATGCTGCATTTGTCATGATATACTTTTCTCTGTCTGGAGATTCTTGAAACTTGTTGCTTTTTGACATACTGTTCTCTATTGAGAGGTCCTGGAAGACTTTCGTATGAGACGAAACATGTTGTTAGTTGGGCGTATACTGTCTTCTTAATTGTCACATACTTCACCTGGTTCTTACAGTTATAGCTAAAGATACATATTTTCTGTTGTTTCACAACTGATTAATATTATAGGTAAGTAACTAAATTCGCCGAAGTGTCATAAAATGGATATCATTTATGTCGGGAATAGAAGGGTCCCTTGACAGTTATGGGCATTTGTCTATGCACTGTATTGTCAAACTAAAAATATGTACCTGGCCGTAGATTTAACATACATGATAATTTTGTGTTAAAGGAGATACGTCTCCTGATTGTAGATTTAATGTACATGATGATTGTGTGTTAAAGGAGATGTGTCTCCTGATTGTAGATTTAACATACAAGATGATTGTGTGTTAAAGGAGATACGTCTCCTGATTGTAGATTTAATGTACATGATGATTGTGTGTTAAAGGTGATACGTATCCTGATTGTAGATTTAATGTACATGATGATTTTGTGTTAAAGGTGATACATATCCTGATCGTTTCGCCATTGACTTCACCACCAACCAACTGTATTACACTGTTGCACATACGAGTGAATTAGATATGGGCTACATTGCTGTGATGATTCCGACAAAAGATCAGACGGTGAAAAAGACGCTGATAAAGGGCCTACACTATGTAGGGGGTCTTGCAATACATCCAGGAAAAGGGTGAGTGTATCTTCTGCTATTACATAAAACAATATGTCTGTTCTGGTGTGAAACGTTCATTTGCTATTCTAATGTATACCATAGATGTTTGGATACCACTTGGAAATTGCTGTTTCATTCCTAAAACCTATAACGTCCCGCATTAATCAGCATCTCCTACCAAAGTCAGATGTAGTCATTCTTTATGAACACGACCTGTAGCCTGCTTTACTGTCCCTACATATTGAAGGTCCTCATTTTCTAACAGAAACCAATTTGTTTGTCTGTTGAAGCCAGTATCTGACTTGTTGTCTAATTAGCAATGAGCAAGAAAGGACCAGGAATTCAAAGTTAAACCTCTCATATATATAGTGGCTTTAGTTCAGAACTGAAACATGTTCTTTACATTAAATTTACAAAATTTATTGATTTAAAATCTTTGTGCATTCTGTATTTCAACTTTTTGTTTGTTTGGTTCTGTAATAATTTTGTTCCTTATTTGACTGTTCTGTATCTGTTGAAACCTGTTATTGATGTCTCTGCCTTTTATACAATATCAGCTTATCAGAAATGAATTGATTCTGTTAACTGTGGCTTCATTAAGAACGCACACAGTTTTATAGGAAATACACCAACTAAACTTTATAAATAAATTGATGTATTTTGAATAAATTTATCTCAACCAATCATATGCTTACTTCATATTCAGTACTTAAGAATGATTAAATGGAGGTTATCAGTAAAATGTCCTTTTCAGCTACTTGTATTTCAACAACCATGGATTAAAGGTCTACATAGGTCGGGCAGATAGTGATGGAACAAACATAAAAGACATTGTCACATTTAATGATGGCGGGACACCTCTTGGCATGGCCATCGACTATGCAAGTATGTCATTACAGTTATATTTCGATTTTCTAGGACCTTTGAAGTCTTTTAAACAGTTCAAGTTTTAAATTTACTATTTTTCATCAAAACAACATTATTTTTATTTGTTCTCCAAAATACCACGGTTTGACTAACAAAAAACTGATTCGCAATGGTTTGTTCCAAAGTTCCACTGTTTGACTAATAAATCTAAAGGATTCACTGTTGTTTGTACCAAAATACCACTGTTTGACTAACAAAAAACTGATTCACAATGGTTTGTTCCAAAGTACCATTGTTTGATTAACAAAAAACGGATTCGTAATGGTTTGTTCCAAAATTCCAATGTTTGACTAACAAATATAAAGGATTTACAATGGTTTGTTCCAAAATAACATTCTTTGATTAACAAAAAAAGGATTCGCAATGGTTTGTTCCAAAATACCATTCTTTGATTAACAAAAAATGGATTTGCAATGGTTTGTTCCAAAATACCATTGTTTAATTAACAAAAAACAGATTTGCAATGGTTTGTTCCAAAATACCATTATTTGACTTACAAATATAAAGAATTCACAATAGGCTGTCTAATTGTGTATCATTGCCGATAAGTGGGATTTGTATGGTTCATATTTTGCCTAAATTCTTCTGTATATGTTATGTATAAAAATTTCTGATACAGATGAGATGTTATACTGGGCGGATGCTTACAGAGACCAGGACAAGATCGAGTATATCAACCTGGATGGAGTATCCTCCACTCGCGGTGTACTCAGGAGTGATATGACTGCAGACATAGTGGACTTGGCTCTTTCTGATGGCTACCTCTACTACGTTGGATACAACAGGCAGTAAGTTTCCACCGTGAACAAGTAACCGAAGAATGACTCCTTTGAATGTTTACCAGAAGTTTTTGTGTAACCTTATTGATTTATCTTGTCTGATAATTTGTAAATATATTATTGATGCATTGATAAATGGAAAATATGTATTTTTCAGTCGAATTATTAAAGTTAATTTACAAAACCAGCAATTGGAAGATTTTATGAATGATCAGCCAGAGTTTGGAGCCTGTGACTCTACTGATGTCATACCAACAACAAACACACAACCAGGTATTTATACATGACCAAAACTAATACTGGTCAACATCCATGTTCATTAAACAATATAGATCAAGCTCCAACATAATATATGACATTTTTTGTGTTTTTATATACACTTTGTTATCAAGAGCTGACCTTATAAGCTGATATGGAGTGCTTGATATGACATTTTGTAGATATTTTACATGTGTACTACCTATTTTGACATCATTGTTAATGGCGTGAGTCAGCGTTCGACTGTTTCTACTTTTTTCCATTGGTTTTTCCAATCAGTATATTGACAAGTCATTGGTAGATTCTAACATGAAATTGCATGAATAATGACTCCTTGTTATCTAACATATGCAAATCCTGTCTTGTTTGTCATGTTTTTTGGTATAACTACTTCAGTTTCGGATACTTTGTCGCGGTTAGTTGTTACTAAGGGATTTTTATGCTTTGTTTGTATCAGCTTATATTATATCAAAAGCTGTTTTTTCAGGTATCATAAACGTAACACAGCAGTTGCGGAAATGCTAAATAATTGTCCGTCTCCGTCACAAATAATAAGTGTACTTTTTGAAAAATCAAAAAACTTCAGATTAGAAATATTGTATTATTGATTCTAAGTACCGTTGCGTTACAGAGAACACACAGTGTGGTAGTAACATGGGCATGTGCTCCCATTTCTGTTTCGCTAAGCCAACTGGTAAGAGGTGTGGCTGTCCAGACGAGATGTACCTAGACCAAAACACACAGATGACCTGCACCACTAGTAAGTTCAACATTCTTAAGCTCTGTTCTTTTTGTTTGTGTGGGATTTACATACCAGAGGTCAAAATATTTGATTTTCTTTTACTACAAGAAGATGCCAAGTCACTAAGTTATCAACTTGTACACTGCTGGTGTAAATGCTTCAACTTATACACACCACATGTAAAATACATCAACTTATACACACCACCTGTAAAATACATCCACTTATACACACCACCTGTAAAATACATACACTTATACACACCACCTGTAAAATACATCAACTTTACACATCACCTGTAAAATACATCAACTTATACCACCACCTGTAAAATACATACACTTATACACACCACCTGTAAAATACATCAACTTATACCACCACCTGTAAAATACATACACTTATACACACCACATATAAAATACATTAACAGTTCTTATAACCACTGTTTTTAGTAATTTTTCACACCAATTAATTATTTCAGTTCCACCAAAATGCCCACTCATTATCCCGAACGGCCAACTCAACCCAGGATGTTCAGCACTAAGTGGAACAAGCTGTGGATATAGCTGTTATACAACTTTTATGAAGAACCCAGCTGTCTCCATCCTCAACTGTACATCTCAACTGTTTTGGGATGTCCCTACTGACTCACTGTGTATAGGTAAATCCAATTCCCAAAAGTACCCTGTCAAATCCTCCTTTCTATAGGTAGGTCAAATACCCACCAAATATTCCTGTAAAGATATGTGAAATACTCTATCAAATCACCTGTATTTAGAAAATAAACTTCTCGTGTACAGGTAAGTCAAATTCCCTGTCACATCTTCTGTAAATAGATAATCAAGTGCCCTGTCAAACCTTCCTGTATATAGGCAGTTTAAATACCCTTTCAAATGCTATGTGTGTATATCAAATCCAATACCTTGTCAAATGTCTTATGTAAAAGTAAGTAAAAAATATTTCCAAATATCTTGCCTATAAAAGCTTGAGCATTGTATAGTCACATATCCTGTTAGAACTCTTGTGTTGACAAGTCACATATCCTGTTAGATCTCTTGTATTGACAAGTCACATATCCTGTTAGATCTCTTGTGTTGACAAGTCACATATCCTGTTAGATCTCTTGTGTTGACAAGTCACATATCCTGTTAGATCTCTTGTGTTGACAAGTCACATATCCTGTTAGATCTCTTGTATTGACAAGTCACATATCCTGTTAGATCTCTTGTGTTGACAAGTCACATATCCTGTTAGAACTCTTGTGTTGACAAGTCGTGTATCCTGTTAGAACTCTTGTGTTGACAAGTCACATATCCTGTTAGATCTCTTGTGTTGACAAGTCACATATCCTGTTAGAACTCTTGTGTTGACAAGTCGTGTATCCTGTTAGATCTCTTGTATTGACAAGTCACATATCCTGTTAGATCTCTTGTGTTGACAAGTCACATATCCTGTTAGATCTCTTGTGTTGACAAGTCACATATCCTGTTAGATCTCTTGTGTTGACAAGTCACATATCCTGTTAGAACTCTTGTGTTGACAAGTCACATATCCTGTTAGATCTCTTGTGTTGACAAGTCACATATCCTGTTAGAACTCTTGTGTTGACAAGTCACATATCCTGTTAGATCTCTTGTGTTGACAAGTCACATATCCTGTTAGAACTCTTGTGTTGACAAGTCACATATCCTGTTAGATCTCTTGTGTTGACAAGTCACATATCCTGTTAGAACTGTATTGACAAGTCACATATCCTGTTAGATCTCTTGTATTGACAAGTCACATATCCTGTTAGATCTCTTGTATTGAGAAGTCACATATCCTGTTAGATCTCTTGTGTTGACAAGTCACATATCCTGTTAGATCTCTTGTATTGAGAAGTCACATATCCTGTTAGATCTCTTGTGTTGACAAGTCGTGTATCCTGTTAGATCTCTTGTGTTGACAAGTCACATATCCTGTTAGAACTCTTGTGTTGACAAGTCACATATCCTGTTAGATCTCTTGTGTTGACAAGTCACATATCCTGTTAGATCTCTTGTGTTGACAAGTCACATATCCTGTTAGATCTCTTGTGTTGACAAGTCACATATCCTGTTAGATCTCTTGTGTTGACAAGTCACATATCCTGTTAGATCTCTTGTGTTGACAAGTCACATATCCTGTTAGAACTCTTGTGTTGACAAGTCACATATCCTGTTAGATCTCTTGTGTTGACAAGTCACATATCCTGTTAGAACTCTTTTGTTGACAAGTCACATATCCTGTTAGATATCTTGTGTTGACAAGTCACATATCCTGTTAGATCTCTTGTGTTGACAAGTCACATATCCTGTTAGATCTCTTGTGTTGACAAGTCACATATCCTGTTAGATCTCTTGTGTTGACAAGTCACATATCCTGTTAGATCTCTTGTGTTGACAAGTCACATATCCTGTTAGAACTCTTGTGTTGACAAGTCACATATCCTGTTAGAACTCTTGTGTTGACAAGTCACATATCCTGTTAGAACTCTTGTGTTGACAAGTCACATATCCTGTTAGAACTCCTGTGTTGACAAGTCACATATCCTGTTAGAACTCTTGTGTTGACAAGTCACATATCCTGTTAGAACTGTATTGACAAGTCACATATCCTGTTAGAACTTGTGTTGACAAGTCACATATCCTGTTAGAACTCTTGTGTTGACAAGTCACATATCCTGTTAGAACTCTTGTGTTGACAAGTCACATATCCTGTTAGAACTCTTGTGTTGACAAGTCGCATATCCTGTTAGAACTCTTGTGTTGACAAGTCGCATATCCTGTTAGAACTCTTGTGTTGACAAGTCGCATATCCTGTTAGAACTTTTGTATTGACAAATCGCGTATTCTGTTGGAATTTGTGTGTTGACAAGTCACCTATCATGTTATACAGACAATGTAAATAAACATCACATATCCTGTTAGATATCTTGTGTTGACAAGTCACATATCCTGTTAGAACTCTTGTGTTGACAAGTCACATATCCTGTTAGATATCTTGTGTTGACAAGTCACATATCCTGTTAGAACTCTTGTGTTGACAAGTCACATATCCTGTTAGAACTCTTGTGTTGACAAGTCGCATATCCTGTTAGAACTGTATTGACAAGTCACATATCCTGTTAGAACTCTTGTATTGACAAGTCACATATCCTGTTAGAACTCTTGTATTGAGAAGTCACATATCCTGTTAGATCTCTTGTGTTGACAAGTCACATATCCTGTTAGATCTCTTGTATTGAGAAGTCACATATCCTGTTAGAACTCTTGTGTTGACAAGTCGCATATCCTGTTAGAACTCTTGTGTTGACAAGTCACATATCCTGTTAGATCTCTTGTGTTGACAAGTCACATATCCTGTTAGATCTCTTGTGTTGACAAGTCACATATCCTGTTAGATCTCTTGTGTTGACAAGTCACATATCCTGTTAGATCTCTTGTGTTGACAAGTCACATATCCTGTTAGATCTCTTGTGTTGACAAGTCACATATCCTGTTAGAACTCTTGTGTTGACAAGTCACATATCCTGTTAGATCTCTTGTGTTGACAAGTCACATATCCTGTTAGATATCTTGTGTTGACAAGTCACATATCCTGTTAGATCTCTTGTGTTGACAAGTCACATATCCTGTTAGATCTCTTGTGTTGACAAGTCACATATCCTGTTAGATCTCTTGTGTTGACAAGTCACATATCCTGTTAGATCTCTTGTGTTGACAAGTCACATATCCTGTTAGAACTCTTGTGTTGACAAGTCACATATCCTGTTAGAACTCTTGTGTTGACAAGTCACATATCCTGTTAGAACTCTTGTGTTGACAAGTCACATATCCTGTTAGAACTCCTGTGTTGACAAGTCACATATCCTGTTAGAACTCTTGTGTTGACAAGTCACATATCCTGTTAGAACTGTATTGACAAGTCACATATCCTGTTAGAACTCTTGTGTTGACAAGTCACATATCCTGTTAGAACTCTTGTGTTGACAAGTCACATATCCTGTTAGAACTCTTGTGTTGACAAGTCACATATCCTGTTAGAACTCTTGTGTTGACATGTCGCATATCCTGTTAGAACTCTTGTGTTGACAAGTCGCATATCCTGTTAGAACTTTTGTATTGACAAATCGCGTATTCTGTTGGAATTTGTGTGTTGACAAGTCACCTATCATGTTATACAGACAATGTAAATAAACATCACATATCCTGTTAGATATCTTGTGTTGACAAGTCGCATATCCTGTTAGAACTCTTGTGTTGACAAGTCACATATCCTGTTAGAACTCCTGTGTTGACAAGTCACATATCCTGTTAGATCTCTTGTGTTGACAAGTCACATATCCTGTTAGAACTCTTGTGTTGACAAGTCGCATATCCTGTTAGAACTCTTGTGTTGACAAGTCGCATATCCTGTTAGAACTCTTGTGTTGACAAGTCACATATCCTGTTAGATCTCTTGTGTTGACAAGTCGCATATCCTGTTAGAACTCTTGTGTTGACAAGTCGCATATCCTGTTAGAACTCTTGTGTTGACAAGTCACATATCCTGTTAGAACTCTTGTATTGACAAGTCACATATCCTGTTAGAACTCCTGTGTTGACAAGTCACATATCCTGTTAGAACTCTTGTGTTGACAAGTCACATATCCTGTTAGAACTCTTGTATTGACAAGTCACATATCCTGTTAGAACTCCTGTGTTGACAAGTCACATATCCTGTTAGATCTCTTGTGTTGACAAGTCACATATCCTGTTAGATCTCTTGTGTTGACAAGTCACATATCCTGTTAGAACTCTTTGGTATTGACAAATCAAACTTATTCATAAATTTAGTCAAATAACCTTTTAAATTTACTGTGTATAGAAAGCTTTGAATACCCTTTCAACAAAGTAAGTTATGAACTCTGTCTTTACTCCTTCAGTTGGTCACACACTTCACAAGCATTTCTAGGATAGTAACGTTATTGAAGATATTGAGACTGATAAAAAGGAGTTTGAATAAGTAAGACTCAGATTGATTCCATTTATAATGAGAGCATGGGAGATTCAAAGAGTGCTCCCTAAATCTGATAGGATTGTTTCATTAAATATGATTATTAAATACTTTTGGGTTCATTGATGTTGTGTTGTCAGTAATGATGGTAACGTGACAAGTTTGTTGTTCATTTTATCCTTTAATTGATTTGTTTTCATAATCCAAACAGTCTACACAACCCAACCTCTGATAATTACAACCACGTATTCACCAACGACCACAATCGATCAAACACATGTGGCCACTACTGTGCACAATGTTGCAACAACGGCCACCTCGACTGAGGTTGCCTTGACCACGTCTACAAGTGTTACAACAGGTCCAAACACACCCCCAGGTACACCTGAAGAAAGTTTGCCAAACACATGTCAAATCTTTGAGTTATTATTGGTATCCTGTAATTTTGCACAAATGTGTCGTCAATTTGTTGATTGGTGTTGTTTGACTTACTGCTTTTGTTTTACCTATAGATGGTGTTTCCTATGTCTCTGGGTTTGCTGTTGTTCAAGTCAGCGCTTTCTGTTGTGCGAGTCAGTGTTTTCTGTTGTGTGAGTCGGTGTTTTCTGTTGTATGAGTCAATGTTTTCTGTTGTGTGAGTCGGTGTTTTCTGTTGTGTGAGTCAATGTTTTCTGTTGTGTGAGTCATTGTTTTCTGTTGTGTTAATCAGTGTTTTCTGTTGTGTGAGTCATTGTTTTCTGTTGTGTTAATCAGTGTTTTCTGTTGTACAAGTCAGTGTTTTCTGTTGTGTGAGTCAGTGTTTTCTGTTGTGTGAATCAGTGTTTTCTGTTGTTTGAGTCAGTGTTTTCTGTTGTGCGAGTCAGTGTTTTCTGTTGTGCGAGTCAATGTTTTCTGTTGTGTGAGTAAGTTTTTTCTGTTGTGCGAGTCAGTGTTTTCTGTTGTGTGAGTCATTGTTTTCTGTTGTGTTAATCAATGTTTTCTGTTGTGTGAGTCAGTGTTTTCTGTTGTGTGAGTCAGTGTTTTCTGTTGTTTGAGTCAGTGTTTTCTGTTGTGTGAGTCAACGTTTTCTATTGTGTGAGTCAGTGTTTTCTGTTGTGTCTCGGAATTTTGTGTTGTATGGGTCAGTGTTTTCTGTTGGGTGTCTTTTGTTGTGTGAGTAAGTGTTTTCTGTTGTGTCTCTGGGTTTTCTTTTGTGTGAGTCATTGTTTTCTGTTGTGGGGGTCAGTGTTTTCTGTTTTTTGGGGGTCAGTGTTTTCTGCTCTGTTTCTGAGTTTCTGTTGTGTCTCTTGGATTTCTATTGAGTCTCTAGATTTATTGTTGTGTGAGTCAATGTTTTCTGGTGTGTTAATATTTTTTAGTTGTGTCTCTGGGTTTTCTGTTGTGTTTTTGCTGCACCCTTTGACCTAACAGGTTCATTCAAAATTCTGTGAGTGCTGTTTGTTGTTTCCACACATTCATGCAACTAAAAAATGGCCTAATACACTCATGTTCACATCTCAGATTTATTCCTTGTCGACAAACACAACCCATAGTCACCTGTAGTGCATACCTCGAAGCTCTCGCAGACATTCACACACCATTAATTATTCATCAGTCTAATACACTTGCAATGTACTGGTATATTCATACATACACATTCACTCAGAACAATTAATAGGAATACACTTATCATCACCCACCCAACAAAGTTGGCAGGGGATATTGAAATGGGTTCAATCCTTCCATCCTTCAATCCAGATGCTGCTTTAACATTATTTTTGAAAACCTTTGAAGGACTGGTTGGATGTTGATGAAACTTGATTGGTATTCTTGTTATCTTAATCCCTTGCCCAAGTTCGATTCACGGCCAATTCTGTGCATATTTAATGATGCTGCTGTGACCTGTTCGACTGATTTCTTCAATCACTCTCGGATGCTGCTTTCAGAAAGACATCTTTTGAAGGACTAGTCGGATTTTGATGAAACTTGGTTGGTACACTTGTTACCTTAACCCCTTGTTTGATTAACAGCGAATTCTGTGCATATTTAATGAGACTGCTGTGACCTGATTGGCTGATATCTTTCAGCACCCTTACTGAAGGAACAAATGAATTTTGATGAGACTTGCTTGGTAAACTTATAACATAATCTCCTCGCTCAAGTTTGATCAACCATGAATTCCATGCATATTTAATTATGATGCTCTTACCTGATTGGCTGATTTCTTGAAACAGTCTAGAGGATTGCTTTCCATACTTCTTTCAAAGGAATGATCAAATTTTACATGAGACTTGCATTAGCAGACTTAGTACCTTAAGCACTCTCTTCAGTTTGATTATTGCCCAATTCTGCAAATATGTAACGAGTCAGCTGTGACCTGAATGCCTGATTGATTTGTTTAGAATATCTTATGAAGTAATAATAAGAGACCTTTTAAAGACTAAACATATCATTTACCTATTCGGAAATTTAGACCCCTAAAAATCATAGAAGGAGACTAAGTATGATAATGATAAGAAACAGAACAATAACAATAGGTCTTTCCACCAGTTGGTAGAAGGCCCTAATAAGCCCATGATAGTGAATCTCCATAATGCTTTTAGAAGTCGAAGTGATGTTGCACTATCACCGGTTATGATTCGCAGTTTTACATATCTGACTGTTAGATGCTGTATTGTTTTTTATCAATACATATAAACCATTTCACGTTTTTGTCATACTTTGGTGGTAATAGAATCATTGATTGATCCAGCATCAATGACATTAAGTGACATGTCATTACTTAAAAAGATGGGATTAAGGTTTGAGAGGCTGATTTTGATATTCACAGAAATATGCTACTTAATTCTTATTATATTGATCACTTTCAGCCGAACTTTAAACTGAACATATTAAACAATAAATACCATAGTTTTCCTTGTTGCTCATTTAAAATGTAAACATTTTACAAATGACACATGGGAAGGGATCTTGATGACTATGTCCTTGTATACATTTTGTTTTAAAATATTGAATCTTAACACGTAACGTATTATTTTGTAGTATTGCACTCTATATCTCATTGTTACATTAACTAGAAAGTTTTTAGAAAATCCTTATTTTTTTTTTGTTCTGTTTGATTTCATTGATTACTTCTTTTTTTTTTTTTGTTAATTGAAATTTGTTATCAAATTAAAATTAATTTGTTTTAGTTTTGCAATTTCAAAAACAAACTCAGTTTGAAAAAATATGAAGGTTTAAAATGCATATCTGCTTCAAGATTTTCAATATTAATATAATTTTTTTGGTCAACTAACACTCCATAGCAAACATTTTAATATTCCTTGCAATAATTTTGTATCGGATATGAAACGTTTACCCAAAGTTCAATACATAACACATGTATAGTAATATGTAAAGAAGGGATATTGTGTTCTGAGCAATGTTAGATATAATATTTTTCTGATAATAGTACAATCTAAGGACATGTACAATTACAACATTGATTTTGAAATTTTTTTTTTTCAGAGAAAGTGTGTGACACCAATATGAATAATGGCAACCTATTGGATTGCAAAGGCAAAGAGGGCGAATCATGTACTTGGCAATGCCCAACAAACTTCATTAAAAAGCCTCTTATCGAAGCAGTGGTTTGTCTGAGTAATGGCCAATGGAGCACACCCCTGGATGGACTTTGTGTTCCTAGTAAGTCTTTTCCTGTTATTGAATCTCAGCTTTGGCAATTCTTTTCACATTCCTCACATTTTCTGGTTTTACTAGCAGATTAACTCTGAAATGAAATCTTTCTGACAGCTATTGAAACGGTTGGTTGAGTATTTGATGATACACTATTTTAATAATGCGAAATCTATATCAATAATTATCTGTTTCATTCCCTCTTGAACTTCGAAGTTTGCAGTGATAGTGTTTTTTTTAACTTTTTCTGTTCTGTTTTTGATAAAAATTCAATTTCCTTATTGATAGAATTGTCTTTAATATTCAATGCTTACAATATGCAGTGCACATCACTCACAAAAAACTTCTGAAGGTCAATCAGGACACTTTATCCATCATTCATAATCATCAATACAACAATGCATCGTCAATCGTCAAAACTACAATGTAATTATCCTCAACCACAATCACCTAAATATCGTCACCCGTCACAAATACTATGATGTAGATATCACCAAATAATAACGCAACAATGTAGATATTACAAATTAATAACGCAACAATCTTTACTTACACACCCATCACCAACACAACCATGTAGATATACACACCCATCACTAACACAACCATGTAGATATACACACCCATCACCAACACAACCATGTAGATATACACACCCATCACCAACACAACCATGTAGATATACACACCCATCACTTATACAACCATGTAGATATACACACCCATCACCAACACAACCATGTAGATATACACACCCATCACCAACACATCCATGTAGATATACACACCCATCACCAACACAACCATGTAGATATACACACCCATCACCAACACAACCATGTAGATATACACACCCATCATCATCACAACCATGTAGATATACACACCCATCACCAACACAACCATGTAGATATACACACCCATCACCAACACAACCATGTAGATATACACACCCATCACCAACACAACCATGTAGATATACACACCCATCACCAACACAACCATGTAGATATACACACCCATCACCAACACAACCATGTAGATATACACACCCGTCACAAATACTATAATGTAGATATACACACCCATCACCAACACAACCATGTAGATATACACACCCATCACCAACACAACCATGTAGATATACACACCCATCACCAACACAACCATGTAGATATACACACCCATCACCAACACAACCATGTAGATATACACACCCATCACCAACACAACCATGTAGATATACACACCCATCACCAACACAACCATGTAGATATACACACCCATACACACCCAACACAACCATGTAGATATACACACCCATCACCAACACAACCATGTAGATATACACACCCATCACCAACACAACCATGTAGATATACACACCCATCACCAACACAACCATGTAGATATACACACCCATCACCAACACATTCATGTAGATATACACACCCATCACCAACACAACCATGTAGATATACACACCCATCACCAACACAACCATGTAGACATACACACCCATCACCAACACGACCATGTAGACATACACACCCATCACCAACACGACCATGTAGATATACACACCCATCACCAACACAACCATGTAGATATACACACCCATCACCAACACAACCATGTAGATATACACACCCATCACCAACACAACCATGTAGATATACACACCCATCACCAACACAACCATGTAGATATACACACCCATCACCAACACAACCATGTAGATATACACACCCATCACTAACACAACCATGTAGATATACACACCCATCACTTATACAACCATGTAGATATACACACCCATCACTAACACAACTATGTAGATATACACACCCATCACCAACACAACCATGTAGATATACACACCCATCACCAACACAACCATGTAGATATACACACCCATCACCAACACAACCATGTAGATATACACACCCATTACTTATACAACAATGACGAAGGTTAGTTATCTATAATATTACTGGAACTAACACATCCTCTATGTCACTACATTGTAACACATGCTATAAAGCTGTTCTGATCTCTGTAAAGACAAATATCATCATTTTCTTATTATAGATAAAGACTAAACAGTTCATAATTTTTTTCCTGATAAAATAATTTCCTAACTGTAGGTTTTAGTTTTAATTTTTTTTTTCTTTAACAACAAGAAGATAACGTCACCTCTTTATATATATAAGTACTATCATTCCTGGTCATTCTTGTTTTTGGTATGATTTTTGGTTTTTATAGAGAGGTATGCTTCTGGAAAAAGAGACTTGATAAACATTAATGCTTGATATAAGTCATTCACAGCTGCAAAAGATTGTTCATTAGATATCCTAGTGTTTATATACTTTCAGAGAATGATAAAAGGTGTCTGCTAAAGATCTGATAAAAGAAGGGTTTGTAAATTTCCAGTCAAATTGATGGCAAAGTCCTAGGTTTTGCTAAAAGGTGTCTGCTAAAGATCTGATGAAAGAAGGGTTTGCATATTTCCAGCCAGCCTACTAATAATAAGGTTCATTTCAGTGCCTATGCCATTTGTTTGAAGTAAACATAAAGTACTCTGTGGAATTATTAAAATACTTTTTAATATGTTATGATAGTTTACTTAAACTTACCGTACATAGTTCCTACACAGCTAACTGGCAGAACTTTGATAACTTACAAAAATTGTGAATATTTGAGTAGGCCACTTCTAGTTTCTGGACAATCGTTATAGAATTTACAATATTTTAATTGAAATGAAGTCTGTTCTACATTCTACCCTTGATAATCCTTAAAATAGGATTCCGCCAAACTCATGCATATCTAATGAAACCACTTTGTTTGAAATTTGATAATCCTATGGTCAGAATCCATTATCAGATTTTCATCGCAATTTTCTGATAAGATATCTTTTTGTAAGTGCCATGTCTAGTTTGATGTTGTAATCTGGCCTACAATACTTTCAAAATGATTACTGCGACAGGGTTTATGTGATTAATGTTTAACTTGCCTTCTGCATATCGTAATATATCTGCCATTCAATGTTAGTTTTCTACACTTGCACTATCATCTTTCTGTGTGGGCATGCGTGAAATGCTTTGCTGAAGTTGCTTGCTCAAATTGATTATTGGTTGAACTGATGAATGTTGCAAAGTGATGAACTGTCAGTTCCTGATGAAATATAACTATCAGAGAGCTATTAGGCCTTATTATAAATATGTCTATATTGACAACTTTTGAATCCTTCGATCAAGTTAGGAAGGTAAAAGAAGGAATTGGAATTTACATTCTTTGAAGATCATAGCTTTCCCTAATTGTTTGATTATGGTAATCTTTGCTGATGAAATGAAAAGGCAAGTGATTTTTAACTGTAAAACTTACTTACTACCAGGGTGTGGAAGCCACTGATGGCTCCAAGACTAAAACTCACTACCATAGTTATAGTGATGTGGCATGCCACTGATGGCTCCAAGACTAAAACTCACTACCATAGTTATAGTGATGTGGCATGCCACTGATGGCTCAAAGACTAAAACTCATGACCTTAGTTATAGTAGTGTGGGTGCCACTGATGGCTCCAATACTAAAACTCATGACCTTAGTTATGGTGATGTGGGTGCCACTGATGGCTCCAAGACTAAAACTCACTACCATAGTTATAGTGATGTGGCATGCCACTGATGGTTCAAAGACTAAAACTCATGACATAGTTATAGTGATGTGGGTGCCACTGATGGCTCCAACACTAAAATTCATGTTTAAGTTATAGTGATGAGGGTGCCACTGATGGCTCCAAGACTAAAACTCACCACCATAGTTATAGTGATGTAGATGCCACTGATGGCTCCAAGACAAAAACTCACGACCATAGTTTTAGTGATGTGGATGCCACTGATAGCTCATATACTTAAACCCACAACCATAGTTGTAGTGATGTGGATGTCACTGATAGCTCATATACTTAAACCCACAACCATAGTTTTAGTGATGTGGATGCCACTGATAGCTCATATACTTAAACCCACAACCATAGTTTTAGTGATGTGGATGCCACTGATAGCTCATATACTTAAACCCACAACCATAGTTGTAGTGATGTGGGTGCCACAGATGGCTCCAAGACTAAAACTCACTACCATAGTTATAGTCTTGTGGGTGCCACTGATGGCTCCTAGACAAAAACTCACTACCATAGTTATAGTGATGTTGATGCCACTGATGGCTCCAAGACAAAAACTCACCACCATAGTTATAGTGATGTGGATGCCACTGATGGCTCCAAGACTAAAACTCACGACCATAGTTATAGTGATGTGGATGCCACTGATAGCTCATATACTTAAACCCACAACCATAGTTGTAGTGATGTGGGTGCCACAGATGGCTCCAACACTAAAACTCACTACCATAGTTATAGTGATGAGGGTGCCACTGATGGCTCCAATACTAAAACCCACCACCATAGTTATAGTGATGTGGATGCCACTGATAGCTCCAAGACTAAAACTCACTACCATAATTATAGTGATGAGGGTGCCACTGATGGCTCAAAGACTAAAACCCACCACCATAGTTATAGTGATGTGGATGCCACTGATGGCTCCAAGACAAAAACTCACGACCATAGTTATAGTGATGTGGATGCCACTGATAGCTCATATACTTAAACCCACAACCATAGTTGTAGTGATGTGGGTGCCACAGATGGCTCCAAGACTAAAACTCACTACCATAGTTATAGTGATGTGGATGCCACTGATAGCTCCAAGACTAAAACTCACTACCATAGTTATAGTGATGAGGGTGCCACTGATGGTTCAAAGACTAAAACCCACCACCATAGTTATAGTGATGTGGATGCCACTGATGGCTCCAAGACTAAAACTCACTACCATAATTATAGTGATGTTGATGCCACTGATGGCTCCAAGACTAAAACTCACCACCATAGTTATAGTGATGTAGGTGCCACTGATGGCTCCAAGACAAAAACTCATGACCATAGTTATAGTGATGAGGGTGCCACTGATGGCTCAAAGACTAAAACCCACCACCATAGTTATAGTGATGTGGATGCCACTGATGGCTCAAAGACTAAAACCCACCACCATAGTTATAGTGATGTAGGTGCCACTGATGGCTCCAAGACAAAAACTCACTACCATAGTTATAGTGATGAGGGTGCCACTGATGGCTCCAATACTAAAACCCACAACCATAGTTATAGTGACGTGGGTGCCACTGATGGCTCCAAGACTAAAACTTACCACCATAGTTATAGTGATGAGGGTGCCACTGATGGCTCCAAGACAAAAACTCACGACCATAGTTGTAGTGATGTAGGTGCCACTGATGGCTCAAAGACTAAAACTCACGACCATAGTTGTAGTGATGTGGGTGCCATTGATGGCTGCTGACCAAAATCATTGAACATAGTTGAATTGATGTGTATGCTGCTGATGGCTTCCAGACATCCAAATCCACTCAACCATAGCCATAGTGATATTTGTGCCACCAATAACTTGTATAATGAAAAAAATTGTCCATAATCGTAGTAATGTGAATCCTACCGATGATTCTTTGTCTAATCACCTCAAATACAATCGCAGAAATCTCAAACAGCAATTGATCTTGTCAATTATAACTGCTCGTTTACAGTGATGTTGATATATTTACTGTTTCGAGTAAAGTAAACCACACACTCGATCGATTGTTCAGCTTGTTAAAATCATTGCCGTGTCTTTGTTAGTGCTGTACACCAATAGTACCAATATCTACAGAAATTCTGTATTGCTTGTGAAAATTATAACGACAAATGTACCACTTAACATATAATCCATATAATATTTGATAGTGTAGACCGCCAGCATCACCCAGTAATAATCTGCAGATGGAATGTCAATATTGATGACATCATTAATTTGTGACTTCGTTCATTGTATAAAAATGGTGATGCGTAAATTTTGTGAGTTGCAATGCTTTAAGAATTAAAGTAAACGTGAGGGTTATCATTTCAATAGGAAAAGAGATATCTATCTTTCAATAGCAGAACTGGGAATACACATATGTGAGTGAAATACAAAATCTATATACAAGTAGATATCAACAATCTATATACATTAAGAACACATTTACACCTTACCTACCAACAAACATTACTGATACCCATATATATAACCCACGCTTAAGTCAGTTTTATAAGTCAGTTTTACTACACCTTACCTACCAACAAACGTTACCAATACCCAGTAACATAACCCACACTTAAGTCAGTTTTACGCCTATAGAGTTAGAATAGACGTTACCTGCACAAAATTATCAACAATTACATAAATCTGCAATACTGCAGAATTTTTAGTACACCAAGATACAAATCACTGCGCATATTTGCACTGACAATTCTGCATGTTGTAATTTTTGTCATCTTTTTAAAATTGTCCAGGCATGTTTTCCTAATTGGAATATTTACCACATTCCCTTGCTTGTCCTTGTTTGCAGAGGCGACATGCCCTAATATAATACCAAATGGATATCTTCAAGACTGTGCATACAACGCGGGCGCATCTTGTCAAGTCGGGTGTAATGATAACTACATTTCAAGTGTTGACTATATCCATTGTCTTCCGGACGGAATCTGGGACATTAATGTTCAGTCTTTGTGTACCCTTGGTAATATTCTTGTCAAGTCAGTTATCTGTATATAGTATTTACCTGTGTAATCATTTTGTGTAAAAATACTGTGCCACAAAATCAAAACTTGTAACCAGAGTTATCCATAGAGTTAACAATGTTTTCAAACTTTTAAATTGTATTTAATAGATAGGACCGTGTATGGAATTAACCCATATATCTATAAAGATTACAATACCCTTAGAATAGAAAAAACCTTCCTTGTGTTGTCTACAACTGCAACTATACCCTTGTTATAAAACACAGGGGATTTCAGCTCTTGAGACCAATATATTGAATTATGATAAATAAGAAATAACTCAATTTGTCACAGATTTTACCAAGATGTTGAAGCACAACAAACAAAATTAATACAGTATTGTGGTGAACATAAAATTCAAACTTCAATACTATTACGATATGATTTCATTAGCTGTGTATATGTACTTCTTGGCACATAACTAACACTTCAATTAGCAGTGTTAACCATATTAAATAAGTGAAGTATGATTTAATTAGTTCTACACAGTAGAAAATAGCTTAGATATTTTATTTTCATATTTTTATTGGTTACGGTGAATAACGGAAATTATTTTTTACTTGCTTCATATGCTGTGGTTAATAACTTAGGAAGAATTCATTCTTCTCTAGATTTAGAGCTTTTGCATTACATATAGAGCTTACAGGTACTACTAATACTTATAATGTATATGCAAAAGATATAGAAATTGATCCAAACTGTTACTTACTTTGTTTTTAAAATTTTCAGGAAGAACATGTGGCCAAACTATTCCTAATGGATCATTCCAAAACTGTAATTACCAGGCAGACAAATCTTGTAAGGTCATATGTAGTCTTGGTTATAGTTCAACTATAGATTTTATTCACTGTCTACCGGATGGAGTCTGGGAGAAAGAACTCAAAGATATCTGTCAGTTGACCAAAGGTAAGTATCTTTATGCAAAATGTCTGTGGATGATGCTTAAGTCTTATTTACGTTCACAGATAAAAAGCCACACAAAAATGGTAAATTTATGAATTACTTGTTAACGCTAGACACAAAAAAGTCATACCCATGAGATTACAAGTAAAATTAAACACTGTGCAGAGAACACACCAGAGATTTAGCATCATTGTATTCAAATTTAGAATTAGATATAGTAAAGGCAAATAATGAATTTAATGGCTGTTTCCTCCATCAAGGACTCAAAGTGGTTTTATTGATATATAACTTTAATGTAATTCCTTATCGTGTGATTACTTATGAAACATTTCAGAGATGTCTCTTTAAACTATACATAATAAGTGTAAAAATTACTTATCAACCCATTGTGTAATTACTTCAAATAAATTCTAATGTTAGTGTGTACTTACAAAATAGTAGTTCTTGTCATTACTGGTGATATCATGTTTTACTGGAAATGATGATGACATGGGAGTAGATGATTACTACTAATAAGCTTTACTATTGCTAGAAAGCACCCGTCAGTGATACCGCTAACTATGATCATGAAGGAGGAATGTCTCATGATGTGTGTCTCAGAAATCCAGTACGCACTTGTCATGATTTTTAGGTCACCTTGAGATGTTTGCAATCACCTTCATTTGGTGTTGTGCTTCCACAAACAATTTAACTTCTTCTCAAAAAACTCTGATCCGATTTAAATGAAGTTTTGCTGAAACCTCCCCTTGCCTAAAATGAATGAACATTGTGAGCTATACAGTCCCCATCCCCCAGGTGCCTGAGGGGCTGGGACTGTATAGTTCACAAAAATGGTCAGTTGTCTCGGGTCTGCTTTACTACACCCAGAAATGGTAGAATCAAATACTCTTCATGAATGGAAGCATCTTAAGGTGCTATCCCAAAATTGTGAATTTTATAGCCCCAGGGTCTCGCATTTCCCTATAGGGAGAGGGAAAATTTTACTATAGTTTATATAAGAAAACTAGATTTATGAGCATAATTTGTTTCATTTTCGATGGATATATTTCAAACATGGTTAGAAACATGAGCGGAGAATGGTATGCCCATTTTGACCCTGACTGTCTCCCAGGGGCGAATGGGTGGGGCCAAAAGGGATCAAATTGACTTACGTTTTAAAAAATCTTCTTAAGACCCAGATATGGTAGAATCAAATGCTCTGCATGAATGTAAGCATCTTTAGGTGCTTAAATTACCAATATGAATCTCAAATTCTCCTAGGGAAGTTTTTTTTTTAGACTTCACTGTAATTTTCATAGAAGAAATGCATTTTGAGCATAATGTTGGTTATTTCCCACTGGAAAAAACTTTATAAGAACTATCAGTATAGGATGACAGTTTTGATTGTATGCATGTATTGACACAGGCTTACTATATTCAGTGTCACAATTTCTGTTTCATGACACTCGATAACTATCCTCTAACCTTTATATTCAATATTGCTTATCTTAGATGACCTTCAAGTCCACTAGGCTTCTTGTTTTCAGATGATTTCAATAAGAATTGCTTTGTTTTAATACTCGTATTTAATCATATTTGTGTCAGTGGTCACACCAGAGAAGCAAACTGCTGCAGCTAATACAGCAGGCCTTACTGCTGCCGTCGCTGTCGTCGTCACTCTCCTCATTATCGTCATTGCTTTGGGAGTCGCCTTCTTTTTCTGCCGCAGGTACAGTTTTTTCTATCAATTTTCTATGCATTTACATTGAATAACTTGTACAGTACATTAACTGTTTTGAATATTCTTGTATATGAAATATGATGAAATGATATTCGCAATTTATTATCAACAGAGTGCTATATTACATATATTAGTGATCTCATTGAAAATATTATGCTGGGCATATTTGATGCTTGTTAGTTTGCCTGTTGGTTCCATTGTTGTATACCTTGTTCTTGTTTGGGAATGTGAAATTACTTACTGGGATTGACAAGATTTATATGGCAGGTGTTGTCAGTGAAGCAGAAAACTTTTACCTTCCAGAACACCTGGTCTTATTCTCCTTGTACTTTTTCAGGAGTTGCCATGGAAATCTTTCTTTTGTTCATATTTTGCTGTGGTTTATGAATATGAGTTTGGATTATGTTGATTTTGATTGTTGTCAGTGATGCTAAGGGCTTAAATTGTTGAAACCTAGATGCCAGGTGACTTTTGAAAATTGAAACAGATTGAAATTAATGTCAAAACCAGATGGGGAGACACACTTACCTCATATTCTATAAATTTGATGGTTTTAGATAGTGAGTAACGTCAAAAGAAAGTCAAATATCTAAATCAAAATGTGACAATGCAGAGACATTCTAGTTACTTACAACAGTAGGTAAGAAATAACTGAGTGTTACCTAGTCCCTTATTGTTGGATTTCATTTCAGCAGAAAATATTATTGTACAATATATTTCTGAGTAAGTGTACCTTATTCTATATATTCTTTAACTCACATATATTTTTAGATAATCTATCGTTATAGGTTCCCTCTAATGATAAAATGTCCATTCTAATGGTTTTCATTTCTTTTTTGAAAACCAGGAGAATCTTCAACACAGAAAAGCAAGGTGTCCAGGGCCGTTACCGTGCTTCGCCTAATGTTTACTTTAACGCCAGCGACAGTAGAGGCGAGGCACCAGCCCAGGGGTTCAGTAATCCTACATTACAGGCTAGTAATGGTGAGGTAATGCCTAATACGAATCCCCTCAAGTTGGACCAGATCAGTTTGTCAGATGATACCACCAAACAAAACCTACAGAATGAAGGACACTATGACAGCATTAAAGATGGTCAGCCAGTAGCAGGGGCAGGTCCTCATGAAGCAGTCAACCCACTATACAGCACTATGCAGCCAAATGAAGAAATGCAGTTTTCAAATGCGGGAGACGTTCCGGAAAAGCCAGGATATCACCGATTCAATTGAGGAACATCAGCACATGATATGTGATCACTTTTAATGGGGGAATGTGTTTCAGTTGTAGTCTTAATACAAGCAATAAATTCAATATTTACATTTTGATTTATCATATAACTAATCTATCATAACATGATCACACATGAAATAATATGAAACAGAGCTCTGATTGGCCAAAAATCATTGCATCGTTAGAATTGTGGAACTCGCCAATGATTGATATTCAATAAGAATATGGCATTTTTAAGTTTTATATCCATCTAATAAATGCTATTTTCATGAATTCTTGATAAGATATTTTAGTTATGTGATGAACAGAATCATACATGTGTTCCATTTCATGTGAGATTTTTGTCACAAATGTTTCGTTCTTACCTCAACATCCGCCTGATCAGTTAAGATATTCTGATTTTGTTTCATCAATCTCATTTGAATTATAAACCCATGAAAGATTCTATGTGTGATTAATATTGAATTTATTGAATGATGATGATGTGTCATAATAGGTTACTAACAAAATTTAATTCACTTCATTCTTTCTACTTATTCATCCCACCAGAAACTCTGTACAGTCATTCTGTAAACATATGTGTCTAGGCAACTCTGTACAGTATAAACATATGTGTATAGTATCAACATCTAGGCAACTCTGTACTGTATAAACATATGTGCAGTATGCACCTCTGTACAGTATGAACATATGTGCAGTATTCACCTCTGTACAGTATAAACATATGTGCAGCATGCACCTCTGTACAGTATAAACATATGTGCAGTATTCACCTCTGTACTGTATAAACATATGTGCAGTATGCACCTCTGTACAGTATGAATATATGTGCAGTATTCACCTCTGTACTATATAAATATGTGTGCAGTATTCACCTCTGTATAGTATAAACATATGTGCAGTATTCACCTCTGTACTGTATAAACATATGTGCAGTATGCACCTCTGTACAGTATGAACATATGTGCAGTATTCACCTCTGTACTGTATAAACATATGTGCAGTATGCACCTCTGTCCAGTATGAACATATGTGCAGTATTCACCTCTGTACTATATAAATATGTGTGCAGTATTCACCTCTGTACAGTATGAACATATGTGCAGTATTCACCTCTGTACTATATAAATATGTGTGCAGTATTCACCTCTGTACAGTATGAACATATGTGCAGCATGCACCTCTGTACTGTATAAACCTGTGCAGTAAACACCTCTGTACTGTATAAACATGTGCAGTAAACACCTCTGTACTGTATAAACATGTGCAGTAAAAACCCTGTACTGTATAAACATGTGCAGTAAAAACCCTGTACTATATAAACATGTGCAGTAAACACCTCTGTACTGTATAAACATGTGTGCAGTATTCACCTCTGTACTGTATAAACATGTGCAGTAAACACCTCTGTACTATATCAATATGTGTGCAGTATTCACCTCTGTACTGTATAAACATGTGCAGTAAACACCTCTGTACTGTATAAACATGTGCAGTAAACACCTCTGTACTGTATAAACATGTGCAGTAAACACCTCTGTACTGTATAAACATGTGCAGTATTCACCTCTGTACTGTATAAACATGTGTGCAGTAAAAACCCTGTACTGTATAAACATATGCAGTATTCACCTCTGTACAGTATAAACGTGAACAGTAAATGCTTTTGCACAGTGTATACAGTATGCATCTCTGTACATTGTACAAGTTTGTACAGTAAATATTTAGCTAAAACAATAGTTTTTAACACGATTAAGCTCCCTGAAGGAATATATTAGTTTTATTAATGATAATACTGGAAAAAGAAATACCAGGGCACAAAATATGTAAGGATGCTACATGATTTATCTATATTATAGGATTTCTTGAAATAAATAGATAACCAGAATATTTCAACAGTTACAGATTCTATTCCTCATTGACTTAACTAACATGTCTGTAACACACATCTAGTTAAAATTGTATGTTAATAGTTTACAAAGGATCCTGTAAGTATGGGTGATACTGCATATATAAGTTCCTGTCAGTACAGATGGTGCTGTGTATGTATCATTCCTGTTAATATGGTTGATACTGTGCATACATTATTCCTGTTAATATGGTTGATACTGTGCATACATTATTCCTGTTAATACGGCTGATACAGGGAATATATCATTCCTGTTAATACGGCTGATACAGGGAATATATTATTCCTGTTAATACGACTGATACAGGGAATATATCATTCCTGTTAATACGGCTGATACAGGGAATATATTATTCCTGTTAATACGGCTGATACAGGGAATATGTCATTCCAGTTAATACGGCTGATACAGGGAATATATTATTGGTGAAAAAATGCATGATACTGTGCCTATATTATTTCTGGTTTTGGTGATGCTAGTACAGCATATATTGTGCTCTTCGGCTCATATTGGCATATGAACATGACTTTCCACCACCCTATTTTGGCTTGATTATATGACCATGTGATCCAATTGTCTTTTTTCAACATTCAGATATTATTGTGAATTTGATAACTTTTTTCTTTTCATAAGATTATTGAGTCTGTGACTTTTTGACCCCGTTCTAGCTGTCTTGAACATGTACAAATATATGATTTTATATAAGTTAGTTTGCCTTACTGTTTGTTTTAGTATGTCTTTATCTAGACAGTTAATTACATAAATATAATTACAATCTGGTCTCTTTACGTTGATATTTATGTGTGTATAACTGCAAATTGAAAAAATTCCAAACATTAGACATTCTATTACCCATTATTTCTACAACATTTTTAACTGTATGTGCTTTTTATCCAATGATATTCATATTTTGTTTATGTTGTTTTTATATATTGCTGCATGGTGAACTCTTCAAGAGTTGTCCCAGCACTAAGATGGGCCGAAAGTAGAGGATCAAGGTAAACCTATATACCTACTGTACCCCTACCACAGGATTGGAAAGGGGAGAGGAGGGGTCATAGAAAACTTAATTTACAGATATCCAACTTCCAGCGTGAGTAAGAGAAAGTAAGGGGGCCAATATGGGGAAAGCATCGTACAACGATATCCCACTTCCAGAATAAGTAAGGGAAGGTTATGGGGTCGATGCAGGAAATATATCGCACAGAAATATTCCTCCTCCAAAAGGGGTAACGGTAGGTTAGGGTATAGAGAAAACAGCTTACACAGATTTACCACTTCAATGATTAGTCATTGAAGATTAGGAGATTGATGCAGGGAAAATAACATGCAGAGATTTTCTAGGAATGGTGAGTAGAGAGCAGTGACAGAGAAAAAGAAATATCTTTCATTATAAAAAGGTATATTGCCGATAAGCTAGTGTAGAAAAAGGCTTTTAATATATTGTGCTTTAATCAAAAAGGAAATTTTAATTGTGATACGTCTCAGCATCTCGATAGGATAAGGACCGAAATTGAAATATAGTAACTACGCATGACGTCATCAGATTAAACTGCTTGTAACCTCACCGCTATCTTGTCACAACTTCCACGTCACAAGAATGTTTAATATGTATAGATCACCTGTCGCTGATAAAAAGATTTCAGCATTTTAGAATGTCATGGATTGTCTGGAATATAAAAATGGTTCTGGTTTTAGGGTATCAGAGAGAAAAGTCCAAGATTTTAGGGTAACAGAGAACTTATATTGTTCTAGATTCTTATATACCGTTGTAACAAGCCATTACACATATGTTAAGATATAACTGATATTTAGCTGTTACTGATATACATGTGTCGGAGAGTTTAACTGTAGAGTTTGAAGATTATGTAAATACAGAGAAAAATAAAACATCTCAAATGAAAAAAGTGCCATATGATTCAAACCCTTGATTTTGTAAATAAAATATTTATATATTTGTATAAAAAGGGTTTATTTGAGATGTCATGTACATTACTGCATTTTTGTACAGACAATATTGAAATTACAACCAGATTGGCTTATGAGTTACTGAAAAATGTTACCTGGTATTTACCAACTGTGATGATACATCTTTTGTGCTCAACAATAATTACCTTTTCCACAAAGACCTGTGGATAATCCAGTCAGCGTCATATACTGCGTAAAGACATTCCAGTGCCGTTAAAAGCTTCTCGGTGTCAGAGACATGGTGTCAGCCCTCCAATTTGTTCTTTATATTGAGGCAAACACCAATGAATATATTGATGTGTACCTCACATTAAGTTGGTTAGTGTGTAGAATAAAAGAAAACCATCCGTCTACATTTTAAAGAAAAAACTATATATTGTGTCTATGATTCCTTCAGTAAACAATCTGGGCAAGCTATCTATTTCAGCTGTATGTGATGTTTAAATATTACCCGTCACATCCCGATATTTTACCATCAAAACCAGAATTAGACCACAATAATATGTAAAGTGAATGAATGACTTTTTGGAGTTTAATTTTAAACTCCTGTGCCTTGTGATAGAGTAAGAAAAAGCAAAAGTCTGTTTCATGTCAAAATTTATCATACACAATCAACATATATATTTTATCATTGATCTTATTTTTGGCTGTAGAAGCATTATGCTGAAGTATCATTGAGCTGTTGACAGTTTTGGTAGGCTGTTATAAAATAGGAATAGCAGTTATTTGGGATAAGCATTCATTTTTTCAATGGATTACGAACTAAAATTTGACTGAGCCAAAATATGTACAGTATGTTTACAGGCTATAGATCATGTGCATGTTTCCACACCGTACTGTGTGAATATTTCATTGCCACTGATCATGATCGTGTACATGCTTTCATGGCCACTGATCATGATCGTGTACATGCTTTCATGGCCACTGATCATGATCGTGTACATGCTTTCATGGCCACTGATCATGATCGTGTACATGCTTTCATGGCCAGTGATCATGATCGTGTACATGCTTTCATGGCCAGTGATCATGATCGTGTACATGCTTTCATGGCCACTGATCATGATCGTGTACATGCTTTCATGGCCACTGATCATGATCGTGTACATGCTTTCATGGCC